CCTTGCAAACATCAAGACCTGAATTTGATCCCCAGCACCCACATAAAAAGCTAGGCATAGTGACATGTGCTTGTAATCCCAGCCTTGGGGAGATGGAGACAGCAGATCACTAGGCTCACTGGTCTGCCAACCTAGCCTCCTTGATGAGCAACAGCTGATAAGAGATGCTGTCTGAAAAGAGTGGACAGCATTCCTGAGAATGGCATCCGAGGTTGTCTTCTGGCCTCCACATGCATGTACACACACACACACACACACACACACACACACACACACACACTAAAAAGAGCCCAGATAAATTTGACTGCCAGTTTATAACATTCTAGCTCTCGACTATCATGATGTTAATCAGCCTTGTAGAATGATTAGCCCAGGGAATCCAGCCCCACCTGTCTCTTCAGAGTCTTCTTAGCCGTCCTTCCACGCATGGAGTGGGACCCTTTGGAGTAGGGATCCTCCAGGGAGAAAGGGGGGCCTTTCTAGATTTTAAGGCTCACTTTGGGAGAGAACAGTTCTAATTTCTAAAGGTTCTAAATTAGAACAGTTCTAATTTCTAAAGGTTTGTGGCAAGGAATTGTGATTTCTGTGATCCACTAAAAAAAGGACAGGAATAGGTCAGAGGGCCTTTGCATTTGAGCCCTCCGCCGTTCATCAGTTCAAAGGACTTGGCATGCCAAGGACTGTACTTTGGATGTCTGTGTCCTGAGCGCAGTGGTGGTAAACTTGCTTTTTCTGGTCAATTAAAAACTAATGTCATTTTTTTAAAGCTCCTGAGTTAGGACCCAAGTCCTTTTTCTGAAGGAGCTCTCTGTTCTCCCTGATGTTGGTAGGAGAGGAAGAGAACAGAACACATCAGCATGCAATATGACTCTGGGCTTCTGTCAAAATTCCAAAAATAGAAGCAATTCTTTGTCTACATAATTCAAAGAAAGAACATTTCTGAGAAAGCCCCACGGGGTATACTCGTTACACTCTGCTTGCTTTCGTGGGGTGGATATTTGCACACGAACTTCATTCATTGTCCCAAATACAGATGAAGGGAACTCTGAATGTCCTGAAATACCAGAGCCTCCTTCCTGCTTCATCCTGAATATCAGGCAATGTCAGCCTTACAGCTTGTGTTCAAGAGAATGAGCTGACCGAAAGGACTAAGAAAGCAATTATCCCATGTTACCAGAGTTGTTGCAGTCAAAGCCAGGATGCTGGCAGGCCTAGCAAGCCAGCCTTGGCCACTCAACCTCAGTAGATCAATTAAAGAGACAAGTTATCGTGAAAGGCAAAGAAAGATTTACTCAATGTGGCCACATAGGGATAGAGAACAAATAAAGCGGTCTTGTGAACTCCAAATCCATTTTCTGGGTTACCAATACAAGGTTTGGGCTTAAAAGGACAGCAAGAAGGACACGTGGCTAAGTAGCCTGGTCAGAGTGTGGTCCTGTTCATCATCTACCCACCACGTGGGCTCCAGTCTCCAAAAAGGTTGTTGAGTGCACTATCAGAAATACAAACAAACGTGTGTCTTTCCACAGCGTCAGAACTTACTGAATAGCAATAAATTCACAGTCCATTCAATAGCCAACCGAGGCAATCGCGGCCTGTTTTATTTCAATCTTAATTACAAATATTAACTCTAAGGTCACATCACATGTTCTACTTTGCCTTCAATTGCTGTGATAAAAACACTGACCAAAACCAACTTGGGGGAGAAAGGGTTTATTTGTCTTACAAGCACAGTTCATCATCAAGGGAAGTCAAGGCAGGAACTCGGCAGGAACTGGATGGAGCACAGACCATGGAGGAATGCTACTTACCGGCTTGTTCCCCTGACCCATTCTCCCCCTGCTTTCTTATACAATATAGGACCACCTCTCCAGGGATGGCACCGCCCACAGTGGGCTGGGCCCTCCTGCATCACTCAACCATCAAGAAAATGCCCTACAGGCCAAGCCAATGGAAGCAGTTCCTCAACTGAGGGTCCCTCTAACCAGGTGTGTCAAGTTGACAACTAAAGCTGTCCAGTGCGTTACACACCACACGGTAAATGTATCTATACCCGTATGTGTGTATTTAGTGCAAGTTGCATAATGTCTGTGAAGGGTTACAGAGACCCCAGCAGAATTTAGGGAGCTTCAAAGAGGCCTGTGATACAGATGCAAAAAGGAGTATCTGCAAGATTAAGATACTGAATCAGGCTGGACGGAGGCGGCTACTGCTGCTTCGGCTGCTGCGGGAGCCATAGAGCCAGATGCAGAGTCAGAGCTGAGCTGCAGAAGAAATGTGTGGTTGGGGGAGGCTGTAGAGGTGAGGGCAGGACTGGGGCCAGGTGAGTGAAGGGGCAGATGGCCAGTAGTTCAAGTAGGGTCATGTCAAGGGCGGAGACTGAGCTGAGCTCCTGGGACAGTCAGGCGTTCTCTGCCTATTGGCCCCTTAGTGCGTACACTGGATGGTCAGTGGGGGATGTTGTCTTCACAGTGCTAGGTGTCCACCTCTTTATGGGGCCCAGGTGAGGAAGCTGCATGCTTTCCTTGGTCTGGTGTGCCAGATAGGTTCTCTGGCCTGGTTTTCCTAATATGGTTTTAACATGCCCATGTGTTCATATGATCCCAATTTACTTTGATAAATTTATATACTGACTCCAATCTGATTCAGTATCTTACTCTTTCAGATATTGTTTTTGCTTCTGTATCACAGGCCTTTTTGAAACTCCCTAAACTGTGCTGGGGCCTTTGTAATCCTTCACAGACATCTCTGCTTTTAGGAGTAAGTCATTTATCAGTCTCTCCTGCTTGGGTGGGGTGCTGGACAGATGATGTTGCTGACTCACATCAAGATGTAGTCATCCTCCATCCTCAAAATGAAGTCAACAGCTAGCTATAAAATGAAGCCTCTGAGAGCAAGACACAATCTGAAAAACTACTGCTTTACACAATATAAAGTAAGTTAGGGCAGGACACTGTCAGACCTCCTCAAAGGTTGTCTGACAACCGGGCATATCTATGTGAAATCTCTTTCTGGGAGGTGAGGTCCTCCTCTAACTGCTAGGAGGGATTCAGCCTTTCCTTTCTTCCAACATTCCTGGGGACTCTGGTTGTGTAAGAGATGGGCATAAGTGTTTCTGTTTAGAGTATCTTCATTTCTACCAGGTGTTGGGATAAGTCAGGGTGCCTGGAATGTAGAGCATGGCCGCTAGGCTGGATGCCTCTTAGTGAGGACAGCAGGAAACTGGCCCACTCCATTCTAGATACACTCTTACCCAACAACCCCCAAGCAAAACTATTAGGCCTCTAATCCTTTAATCCTAAACGTTCTCTTGTAGATCATGTGACCGGAGGACAGGACAAAGGCCACATAGCCTTAGAAGTGCCCTCCCTCCCCTTACCTGCCTGCCCACCAATAAACCAACCCCACCTCTTTGCCCACAAAACTTTCCTATATAAACCTCTGCTTCTGCCATAACAAATGAGCGGTCCACTGACACAGCCTCCCCAGTGTTTTCTTCCGCTGCCCAAGGCCTCCCTCCCCCCACGGGTCTCTCTCCTCACCCCGACCTTCTGCTATAGGGACCAGTGCAATGGTCTCCCAGTGGCAGGGGAGTTGGGCAAGCAGAGACCAGCACCAGGAGTGCTAATCACAGACCCCAAAGATTAAATACCCTTTGAAAAGTGCAGTGTAAGCATGGGTGTTCCAAAGAAATGTGTTCAGATGTGGAATGTGAACAGTAAATGAAAGATTTCATTCTCCTTGATGACTGAATCTAGGAGGTGGGAGATCTTGCTGCTAGTCCCTCAGTGATCCCTGAACCATCAGCATTGATTTCCTTGTCAACAAATGTTTGAAAAAATTAAAACTCAGCAGTTATTTAACAACCCAAGTCCTTCAGACAGGAAGAAATAGCAATAAACCCTCATCCTCAATCACAAACTGATGACAACACAGATTGAATGAACTCATGTTCACCGTTTGTGCTGAGTTTTATTTCTTCTAATGTAATTCTATTTCATTTTTCAATTATGGAAATTGTGCTATTGATGTGACTGGGCTGGGGTGGGTTAGGGTGGGGTGGGAGGTTCCTGTAGGGCAGCAACCAGGAAGTCTCTGCCTGGAGTTGGGCTCTGGGAATCTGGGCACCAGAGGCGGAAAGCCTGCAAACAGGGGCAAGCGGTGAGATTGCCCAAGACTATGCAATGTCACTAGAGCTCAGAAAGCTCAGAATCTACCACAAGATTTAGTTAGTCCTAACTCTAGCTGAAAGGGGAATTTGTGGGTGGAGAGCAGGACAAAGTTGTCCTGAAGTTGTAGGAATGATGTTTGAGGGAGAATAATGTAACAGGAGTTTTTAGGGTCCAAGCAGCATCCTAGGCTTGGTCACCCATCCACAATACTCCCCTTCCTCATCAGCAGCAACTTGTAAAGCCAGAAACTAAAACTCCGGGGCTTTGATTACCGGATCAAAGAATGAGACCCAAGTGTCTCTTTCACTGTGGGTGGAGACACAACATTCTGAACTGCCCAAAAGATCACAAGATGACTATCTAGCCCAGACTTGCTAGCAAAGCATGGAGACAGACCATTGCCCCCACCCTTAAGAGTTAGTCAAGATGGGCCTGTCAATCACCTGGGCGGGAAACCACTCCTCAGGAAAGCTATTTACTCTAGAAACCTTAAGAAATAATATACAGTCTACCTAAATATGCTGGTCAGCACAATGGTCTCCCTGGCCATTGTCCACTGTCACCTGTGAGAATGTTTTCTTTCACAATGGTCTCTCTGGCCACCGTCACCCTGTGAGAGTGTTCACCCCTGCAATGGTGCCTTGGCCACTGCTCAGTCTTACCCTTGAGAGTGCCTCACATTATTTCTGTAATAAACTTTGTTTTCTATATTATGTTCTGTGTATCTTCTCTGAAATCATTCAATATAGATCATTCATGAGGACTGGGGAGCTGAGTAAAAACCAGACTGAGATCTTGGTGACACAATGGCCCCAGGTCTGTCTTCAGTGTACTGACTGGAACTTTAGGTTTAATAGAGTGTAAGAGCTACATGTAATTAAGCAGTCCTAGTCAAGGTATGTTCCTGCTCCTTGGTGTCTCAGCTCTGGTCCTACAAGGTGGTCTGAAGAAGCCCTTGTTGCTTACGAGAGAAGGTGGTTCTCAGAGATGATTACTTGGGCTCCAGGGCACAGCCTCACCTTCATGGACCATTGTGTTCATTTGGAGGGTAGTCTGTCCTGTGTGGTTTTGCTGATCTTGGAATCCAGGGTGGCTCTAAGGACAATGACTTACCTCTGTGCATTCAGTAAAGGAGACAGACACAAAATGAAGGCAGAGTTGTCAGGCCACGTTCCTGCTTTTCGTTACCTTGTGGGCCCAAGGGAGGAGTCCATGCTTTTTTAGCCAAAGCAACCTCTGTCACCAGTTTGATTTGAGTGGCAGCAGGCCATCACTCAGCAGGCCTCTCCCTTAGCCTTGCTGACCCTGTCCATGTATCAGCCACAGCCCATGGGCCCTTTCCAGGGTTTGGGACAATGACCCAAGGAACAGTGGCCAACCTGAGAGGTGCATTCTCCACTCTCAGCCCCAGGACCCCAAGCTCTGCCTCTCCCAGCAGTCAGCCCATGGTCCTCTGGGCTCTCTTCCTGGAGCAATGGAACTGGATACTCTGGAGCACATAGGCCCTCCCTCCTCCACCAGAGACAGCCCCTGAAGGCATAGGCTCACCAAGAGACTTGAGGCCTGGTCTTACTCTTTTCCACAAAGTCCTATGGAACCCCATCTTGGGGAGCTTGTGTTCAAGGTGTTTGTTTGCTAAGGCTGCAGACAAAGGAGACCACAGTCATTTCCTCCCAGTTATGGAGGCTGGAAGTTCAAGTTCAGGTGGAACAGGGCTGGCTTCTCCTGAGATGCTGTCCTTGTAGATGGCCGTGGTGTCCCTGTGTCCTCACATGTTCTCTCGGCATGTATCTATACCCAGATCTCCTCTTACAAAGACAAATCCCATAGATGAGGGCCCATATGGGGAACCTGCTCTTACCATCATCACCTTTTAAAAGTCCCTGTCTCAACATATGACCCCATTCTGAGGTCCTGCAGGTGAGACATGTGAGTTCGGGTTCTAGCTCTTCCCTCACAGTCAGCTCTGTCCTGTGGCTTGGGTGCCACTGGCTCCCTGTGTTCCTGGAGTTCCCCCTACATAACTGAACTGCTCTACCACCAGCCAGCTTACCTCCACCTCACAGCATGTCATTTATAGATGGGAATGTAATCCTATGTACACATGCACATAGCACATGCACACACAAACACTCATACAATGCACACACGCCAGCAGCCAGCTTACCTCCACCTCACAGCATGTCATTTATAGATGGGTATGTAATCCTACATGTACACATTCACACAGCACATGCACACACAAACACTCATACAGTGCACACATGTCAGGAGCTTGGTGGAAATACAGCCTGGGGAGGGGGCAGGTGTGCCTCTGAACCCCCAGCAGGACTTCTCGGTTACATGGCCTATTCTTCCAGCCCCACTGTCCTTACTCCAGAACCCAGAGCAGCTGCTCAGGGGTCCCAGCAGATACTGGCTCTTAGTGTGGAAAGATCTTCAAAGTCAACGTGTTTGGTGACTATTTAATGGGTTTGTTGCAGGAACATCCATGGGGCTCTGGGTCTGTGCCAGACATTGAGCTGGCCAAAGGACAAGAGGGACATAGTGTCCTGAGGGTCCTGCCACCAGCAAGCTCGCTGCTAGGGGGACAGAAGCAAGCGCTGGCCACCCTTTAAAGCACTGATCATGTCCCAGGTGAGGCGCCTCTCAAGCAGCCAATGGAGTTTGAGTGTTGACTTTGGGAATGAGGCCAAACTACTCCCATTTTACTGAAGTGGAAACTGAGATTCACAGAGGTTTACCTGGTGAGCATGGGCAGGGAACACAATTACGTCTACCCTGAGGCCTTGATCCCACTCAGGAAGGACTCTGGAAGAAGAACAACCTCGTTTGTTGCCCCACACACACACACATACACCCTGTCTTCCTAATAATAGGGGAAACCTGGTCTGTCCATCACCCAGGTCTAACAGTGAATTCCCATCCCCAGGGATAGCTCACAACTGTCCTTCGGTTTGCAGCCTGCCACATGGACCCTTCAAACCCAGGCACCAGGGTAGTCACTGTGCTAACCCCTCAGCAGCTTCCCACAGCAGCCTCACTGACCTATGATGTTCAGGATCCAGTTCTAAGCCCAGGGTGGGGTCCCAGGTCAGAATCCTCATGCCTGGGCTAAAAGTTCAGGCAACAGTTTCTAAAAACAGAGCAGTCACTGCTAAATCTCTACCTTTCTACCTTCCAGCCTGCTCTGGGCTCTCCTGCAGGGGGTAGGGTCCAGCTGCTGTTTGCACTGATGGCCTAGATCCTGGGAGGAGGAGCCTGCTAGGTGCTGTTTACATATCTTTGCCCAAAGCCCCTTGGTGTGAGAGGCTATTCATTCAGCCTGACCTACCCCTGCGCTGAGGTTGCCTGACCACTGCACCTGCTGCCCAGAGCTTTGTTCCCGAAGAAAGTGGAAGTCAGCTGAGGCCACTAACTGCCGGAGCCATGGTAGGGATGGTAGGGGCCTATGATGCAGCCAGTTCATCCTGCTGGCTGTGTCCAAGCTTGGCCTGTGGGCCAGGTATGGGAAGGCTAAGTATGGTCCTCTCCCTCTTGCTCTCCCTCCTTCTCTCCCTCTCCCTCTCTGAGGCAATGGGGAGGCCTTAGGGATCCTCCTGAAGTGGAACTGGGGGGCTATTAGGGTACTGGAAGAGATATAGGAAAAGATGGCCCGAGCCGGACTCTAACGCCTTCATTAGGCGGCTGTGTGAGTTTAGGGAAGTCCCTCTGCATCTTTGAGTCTCAGTCTTGGCAGCTGCAGAGAGGGGTAATATCCTCTATGTCATTATTGTAAGGTCTAAATAAGATATGGCACACAGAAGACCCTGGTCCAGTGCCTGATCACACAGTGGAGTTCAACAAATGGGAATCTTATGCCCAGACTGGAGGCCAGAAGACAGCATCACCCTGAAGCCGCTTAGAAGTGCCCCTTCTCTGAGAAGCCTGGGGGGAAGCCTGGAGCCGGGCACCTGTCCCCTCTCTCTAGGGTCATCTCATGTAGCCTTTCCTGACAGCCCAGCTCAGTTCTTTCTGCTGGGTCATCAGCAAGGTGCCTGGAGCAGACATGGGCCTTGGTCCTGCTTTCTCAGGCTCCACCACATCCATCTTGTTGGCCTCAGAATGGGCAGAATTTTCTACCAGTCTGACCAGGAAAGGCTGGTCACCAGACAACATCAGGAGCCCCTACATGTGGCCGCCAGCCTCAGAGCAGCCGGCACTGTTTGATCTTTCCAGTGGCCCTGACCTGAAAGCCAAGGAGGCCAAGAGAAGCTGGAGCTCAGTGCTGTGGCACTGACCTGCCCTCTTTGGTGGGGAGTGGGAGTAGCCATGTGACAGGCCACAGTGGGGACAGAGTGGCTGCATGCCTGCTGAGACCTGGCTTTTTTCCTGGTACAGGTCCACGGCCACAAAGGGGTCCAGTTCCAAAACTGGGCAAAGACCTATGGCTGCTGTCCAGAGATGTACTACCAGCCCACATCTGTGGAGGAGGTCAAAGAGGTGGGTGTCCTTCCATCTAACATCCACCATGCCAGCTGCCTGGCCCTGGCTGCCCACAGCTCTGGCTCTGGATCAGAAGCTGGAGATGGGATGTTCTGGGCTAAGAGCCCACCCCAGTCCAAAACTGCTGGCCTGGGGCCATCTGCAAGAGATTGACTGAATGCAGGGGCCATCTGCATGAGACTGACTAAATGCAGGGCTCCTGCTCCCTCTTCCCCTAGCTCTGGGTCTGCCCAGCAGCCTGCTGCAATCGTCTATGCCCACCTCAAACCTGCACAGCATGTTCCAAGGACAGCCAGGTCTGCACTCACCACTCAGACTTCTGCAATGAGCTGTATGAAGGTGCTTGTGCACACATACACACATCCATACAGGCCTATGCACATGTACATGCATACAGGTTGACTTGTGCACATGCACGCACACACGCCTATGCACATGCACACACACAGGCTTATGTGCATGTGCACAGGCACATGTATACATGTACACATGCACACAGGCCTGCACATGTGCACAGGCATATGTATACAAGCATGAACACATACCTGTGTACATACCTATTACATGCACACAAGCACATACATTCATGCAGACATGGGTCTATGTGCACACACCTGTGCAAACATACCCATGCGCACAGGCCTGTGCACATGTATACATATAGGTCTGTATGCACACACACAGGTACACATACCTGTGCACACATGCATACATGCACACATATGCATGCAGACATGTGCTTGAACACACATGCATGTATACTTGTGTACAGACACAAACATACATGCAAGACACATGCATTTGTATTCATACCTGGGATAACTTTCTGAGAAGAATCAGGGTTTCTAGGGGAGGGTACCAGGAGTGCAGGAAATGAGAATTACATCATAAGGAGCATGGAAGAGGTTAGAGAGGTGGGTGGGAAGACCGGAAGGCAGAGTGGAGGAAGGGGGAGGCTTTGATGGAGCAGAGGGCTTTGAGGGCTGGGGCAACTGGAGGGTGAGGGAGAAGCCAGTGGTGCGATGCTGGTGTAGCTGCTTGAGAAGGTGGATCCTAGGTGGTTCTGGCCACACAACCGTATGGTGCTAATAGGCTAAGGTCTGTTGTTTCCATGGAGGGTTAGCAGGATCCAGTGAAAATGAAGATAGATATGGGATCTATCAGCTCCAGGATCATGGTGTGACACAATGTAATGTTGGACTTCATAGCTAAAATGTCCTGTGGGAAGAGCAGGTGGTAAAGACCCAGCATTTCCCAGTCAATTTCCACTTGCCACTGGAGCCCTTTGTAATACGCCTATATGAGTGCATTGAGCACAGACATGACAAAGAAGTAAGTGGATTCAGTGAAGAGGCATTATGCAGCCACGTGTTTATTCGGCCAACTCTCTTTAGACACTATTCACTTGTTCCATACCTGGGATAGGTCTGGTCAGTCACCACTGTTCCTGTTCTCGAGGAGGTAGACTGGGAGGCCCCCTATCCAAGATGAGGCATTTGGCTCTTATCCTTAGACACCAGGCACCTTTGGAAGATTTCATGTGGCTGAAGAATGCAATGGGGTTTGCCTTTAAAAAGCATCAATCTGGGGGTGGGGAAGTAGCTCAGTCGGTAGAGTGATACTGATATAATCTACAATGTCAGGCCTGAAGAGGTGAGGACAGAAGTTCAAGGCCAGCTTGACTACATAGTGAATTTGAGGCCAGCCTGGGTTACATGAGACCATGTCTCAAAAATGGGGGTAAAGGGTTCAACCTGGCCAGTGTGGTGGCTCAAATCTAATCCCAGCATTTGGGAGGCAGAGGCAGGAGGATCACAAGTTAGAGCCCAGGCTAGACTACACAGCAAGACCCCATCTCAAAAACACTAAGACCAAAATGAAAAGAAACCCTGGAGCCATGGCAAGGGGAGGAAGCAGAGCCAGCACCAGGACTGTGGTTCTGTCCTAGCTTCCTTCCTGGTCCATCTCTCAGGTTTGCTTTCTGGAGACAGGCAGGGTCCATTAAGCCCTGGAGGCATAACCCAGTTTCCCTCGCCCCCTGCAGGCCATACTAGTTCCCTCAGGCCCTCTGGTTTCCCGCCCTGAGCAGGGCCTGACATCCTCTTGGCAGGTGCTGACCCTAGCTCGACAGCAGAACAAGCGGGTGAAGGTGGTGGGTGGTGGCCACTCACCCTCGGACATCGCCTGCACGGATGGCTTCATGATTCACATGGGCAAGATGAACCGGGTTCTCCAGGTACTGGGGCCCTTGGCTCACCTCCTCAGTTTGTCCCCAAGCTGAACAGCCCCTGTCCTAGCCCCAGGAAAAAAAAATCTCCCAGCTTTTCCATCAGTCCTTAGTCTCTCCCTGCCGAGTCCTCAATGCAACCGCCTGACTCCTGACTTGCCCCTGAGCATTCCCAAGGCTTGCTCAAGTCTGCCTGGCTCTTTACAGAGAGACTATCCACCCCTCCCTTGCTATCAACTCCACGTGCCACTTGGCTAGAACAGGTGTGGGGACTTAGACCCCCAAAAAGTTGACTCGCAATGACTAACCCAGAAATGTCCAAAGTGGCACTGATCTAGGTTTACAAAGAGAGAAAATGAAAATCAGACACTGGCAGTGACTTGCGTACAGTCACACAGCAATCAGCAGCAAAGCTGGGCCCAGACCTAGAACTGACACCAGCTTCCTGCTGGGAAAATGTCCAGGATTCAGCCAACACTCACCATCTGTCAGAGTACTCAGGGCCAGACATGTGTGCCTCCAGGTTAGGGCTCCTGTTTTAAAGGGGGTGAGCTCCCTGGAGCTGTAGTTTCCACCAAATGTCTTCCCCTCCCTGAAACCAGCAGCAAAGAGCCATTTCTCTCTACTGCTGAGGCTGACAGTTTCCACCTCTTAGCAAACAGTCCCAGCAGTAATTAACTCTGATTACTAATTAGCAAGGACTGGGCTCCAGTGATTGCTTTTCTGCGCTCTGTGCCCCAGCGTCAGTGGTTGAGCAAGTACTCTGTAGTCTGTAGACTGATGGGGCTCCTAATCCCACCTCTGCCACCAACCTTTCGTTTGTGTGATCTCAAGCCTTGGACCTGGTGCAACCCCTGAGAAGCGTAGAGACCTTCTTCCCACTTAGGGCTGCAGTGCCCATGCAGGCACCAAGCAGAAGTTGCACTCGGCCTTTTGCCTTCCCCTTCTGGATCTTAGCCTTTGCCCAGGTCTTCAGAGGGAGAGTAAGTGGAAACTTGGCTCTCCATCTAGCAAGACCAGGCCCTACGGCAGGAGATCCTCTGTCCTGCCTCCACAGTGTGGCCAGGGTGCAGTAGCATGGGTGTGGCTAAGTCCCCATCCTAGCCCCAAGTGTCCCTGGGCCAAGCTCTTCTCCCTGCTGGACCTTGTTTACTTCACTCTTGAAAAGAGAAGTTGCATGCAACATTCCAAAGGGCTACAGGTGTGGCTCACTGGAGGACACTTGCCCAGCATGTACAAAGCTCTGGGCTCCATCCCTACACTTCTAATTAATTAATTAATTCAAGAATTGACTGTGTGACACTGGCACCAAGGAACTATGCTGTGCACCCGCAATCCCACCACTTGGAAGGGGGACACAGAAGAATTGCACATTTGAGGCTATCCTGGGCTATAAAAAAATTCCCAGAGCTCCAGCATTCTTGGGCTTGGTACCCCTTTAGGTTGAGGGGTGGATGAGGCAGACCACAGGCTAGAACAGCCACACTCATATTCCAGAGGGCCTCATCTAGGGAACAAGGGCAGGGTGTGTACTGGTTCTTCCCAAACTGTTCTGGCTCTTCCAGGTTGACAAGGAGAAGAAGCAGGTGACAGTAGAGGCTGGCATCTTCCTGTCTGACCTGCACCCACAGTTGGACAAGCATGGCCTGGCCCTGTCCAAGTAAGAGGCCATCCCCAAATCCCAACTGTGCCAGGGCTGCCCCTCCTAGTCCCACCCCAGACCCCACACTCAAGGATCTGGCAAAAGCCAAACAGCTACACTTCTCAGGATGCGCCTGTTCCTCAGATCTCTGCCCTTGGCACCCAGAGTGCCTGTCTAGTCATCCCCCGCAGGTGCAGGGACTGCTGTGTGAAAATAGAAACAGGTCAAAGTTGAGCAGACTGAAGATGGGTGTTGAATGGAAGACCAGACAGCTGAGGATTGACTCTTTCCAAAAACTATTTCAATAAATATCCAAGGGATCAAAACACACGGAATACAAAGCCAGCACTGGGCCGAACAGAAGAGGAGATAGCTGAGCCACAGGTTTTCTGTCAGGTCTACCCATGGCTTTCTCATCCCTCCATCCAAATGTGTTCATCATTGCTCACGTTTAGTGTCAGGGGATTCCATCAATACAGCACTCAAATGCTGCTTAAGTAAATCTCCTGTTGTGGATTTCACCCGTGAGAAAACAGTGACAGTTTTGAACATTAGGATGACAAACTCACTGCGTCTGGAATTCAACCTATAGAAGCCTGTGGCTGGTCTTCAAAGCGTGGACAGTCAGCTCACTCAGTCTTCCTAGCATAGGCCTGAAGCTTCACAATACCTCTGCATTCTGGAAACCACTGTCCCCATTTCTCTAAGGGCCAGGGTGGCTAGGACATTCACAGAGTGACTGCTGCCATGGGTGGGCCTTGCTCAGGCTTTGGAAAAGCAAAGACAAAATCTAGATCCCACTGCCCAGAGGTCCAGCAAGGGGGCAAGCGGGTGCAGAAACTGACCAGCAACAGGCAGGGTGAGAAGTTCAATGTCAATGACACATTCAGGACACTGAGGGGCTTTGGGGGCCCAGGTTCAAGGAGGCTCTGACAAACCTGCTGGGATGTTTGTGTGATGAGAACCAGAGCAGACCCCTAAACCTTGGTGGGCTGTAGACAGAGGAGTCTTAGAACAAGCTGTGCTTGGAGGAGATACCAATGGTAGATGGAGAAAAGGGGCCCGATAGGCTGCCTACCTATGCCTGAGCAGGTGGGTCTCCCCACAAACTAACCCCTAGCCCCACTAGCTCATTGATGGCCCATGGAGATAAGGAGACTGAGGCCCTGGCAGAAGGGCTGGCTACAGACTGGGCCGTAATGGGTGTGGGGTGAGGTACCAAGCAGAAATGAATCAAGTCTTCCACCTGAGGGACGCCCTACTCCATCTGAGAAGCCTAACTGTTCTCTTGTGTCCTTCTTTCTCTCCTTGCTGAGTCCAGTCTGGGAGCAGTGTCCGATGTGACAGTCGCTGGTGTCATTGGGTCTGGGACACACAACACGGGAATCAAGCATGGCATCCTGGCCACTCAGGTGAGTCCCCCGTGTCCATGGCAGGGGAGGCCAGTTCCACACACACCTCAGACACACCACTTCCTCCTGTTAACCTCATCAGGCCCAAAGGAGCCCCTGGGTTTGTCAATGCTCTAACCATCCCGAGGGGCACACCCACTCCACCCCACCACATCCTCACAGGCACCACATGGCAAGGTGAAGACATTGGGAGTTGTAACCAGGAGCCAGGCAGAAGATCGAATTATTCCAGGGTAGAAATAGAGGCAGGGGCTCGGACAGGGACAAGACAACCTGTGGCTGAGTCTGCCTGGCCTTGATCAAAAAGCTTTCTTATACTTCACTTGACAAGAGTCCTGTTTGGGGAACTAGTTAAGAGCACTAGTTTGGAACTCAAATCTGAATCTCAGCCTACATCCATTTGGTGTGTGTGTGTGTGTGTGTGTGTGTGTGTGTGTGTGTGTGTGTGTGTGTATGTATGCTGGGAAATGGCCTGCTGTCTAGATATATTGCTGTCAGAATCCTCCACTAAAATGAAGAGGCACAGAGAGCGGTTTGTATGGAGAAGATCATGAAATAGTGCCTGTTAAATGGTGTTAGAAGGAGCCTGATGTCCTGGCACTTGGAATCCAGTGGTCATTACCATCTCTTCCTCAAAGCTGGCCTGACTGCCCAAGGGGAAGCCAATAGTAACTGGAGGGTTGATATGGCCTGGATGCCATCTCCCAAGATTTGAGCTCAGTCCTAGTTTACTATCCAGGACAGATGTCAAGGGGGCACATCAGTTTCTACACAATGAAATTAATTTGAAGTGGCCATGCATCAAAATGCAGAAATTATTGGTCACACCTCTCTAAACCCCAGCTGAGCAGACAGAGAAGCCGAGAGAACGACTTTGCCCTTTGTTTTACTTATTATGTTGATGGCAAGTGTGTGAGTTGCTTTCTGTCACTATGACAAAGTACCAGAGAAAATCAACCACTAGGAGGAAAGATTTGTTTAGGCTCATGGGTTCAGAGGCTGCAGCTCATGGTCATCTGGCTTCATTGATTTTGGATCTGTGGCAAGGCAGAGGAAGGATGTGGTAGAGGAAAGCTGCTCACCACACAGCAGCCAGGAAACAGAGGCAACAAGAGAAGAAGCCAGGGTCAAGGTAGATTCCTCCAGGGCACAACCCCAGTGGCATACTCCCTCTAGTTAGGCCCCAACTCTTAATGTCCACTACCTCCATCAGATTACAGATCATCATGGATGAATCCACTAACGAGGTTAGATTTGTCATGATCCAGTCACTTCCCCTAAACCCATCAGGTGGCAACCAAGACTTAACACATGAACCAGGAAGCAAGGAGAAGAGAACAAATACCTTCCTTTGACATCTTGTTACAGTAGGTGGTTAGCAGCATGCTTGACATTTGACCCTCATGCCTTCCAAGGTAGTTATTACTGTTGTCCCTCAAGGTTACACAACTGGGAAACACAGTACCCACCTTTCACAGGTCTGTAGATGCTTTTGAAGCCTCTTACAGGCAAGCTCTCTTTCAAGGCTCTACCCTTAAACAGAGTCCAGTTTTTGCAACAATCAGTGAGGCACCCTCTCTCCCCCACCTGGCCACCATGCCCCATTTCCGCCAGTTCTTCCTCTCTGCTCCCTGGTCACTGTTAATTAGAATTTGTTCAGCTATAGCTGTTCTCTAGCCCTGAGCCACCAACCCCCCAAGTACACATGTCAGAAGCAATTTCCATCCAAATTAGCAGGTAGCAGAGTGTGGAAGACTTTTAATAGCCATGAGAGTAGTCCCCTCTGACCCCCATCAATGTGTATCTGAATACCCTAGTTTGCAGAAACCCAAAGTTTCTGGTCAAGTGTGTCTGGGCAGGAGGCTGTCTCTGGGAGAGGGTTCCCTAAAGGAGAAGGTTCTGTGTGACTGGGCAAGGCTTCGGGGATCCTGCTCCAGGCAGGGGAAGCTAGAACCTTCCATGAAGCCACAGAATGAAGACGGCGAACCCAAGTCATCAGGATCTCATATAATATCACGTGGCGATGGGCCCTGCTCTGCTGAGGCCTGATGCCCACCCAGTCATGCGTTCCCTTTGCCCACACCCATTTCTTACCCAACTCCCAGACTGCCCTTTCAGGGAGTAACAATGTTCCTGGCTAAGAAATCCCGTGTGGCCAGTCATAGTAGCCCCTAGGGGTGAGGGCTGCCTGGCCTCCATTCCAAAGACAAGCCGTAAGGTGGGGCAGTGGCTGAGTGGAGTCTGAAGTATGGCTCCTCTCCCTCTGCTAGGTGGTGGCGCTGACCCTGCTGACAGCTGATGGGATCGTTCTGGAATGCTCAGAGTCCAGCAACGCAGATGTGTTCCAAGCGGCACGAGTGCACCTAGGCTGCTTGGGCATCATCCTCACCGTCACCCTGCAGTGCGTGCCACAGTTCCACCTGCAGGAAACATCCTTCCCCTCTACCCTCAAGGAGGTATGGCCCCTTGAATGAGAGAGATCTCACTTTACCACCCTTTCCTTGGCCCAAGAGAGACTGCGGCCAGAGCCCTGGTAGACTGTAAAACCCTGAGGAAACTCAAGGGTGGCCCACATGTGGACATGGAAGGGATTTGGATAGAGAGCTGCCACAGCAGCAAGTGTCAGCTGCCTACTCTTACAAGGCATTGACCCCCAACTGCCCTAGGGAGGACATGCCATAATTTCCCCATCACGGAAGGACCACAGGCTCGGAGCTGGGCCTTGTCTCCAAACACAGTCATGTTCTGAGGAGCTGAAGGTAGAGCTTCAGTGCAGGAATCTGGGGAACACAGCTCAGCCATGGCAGAGATCTTCAGCACCCTTGGCAATTGTTAATGAGGGTGTGAACCACCCAGACAGTGGGCTTGCGTGAAAGAAAGGGCCATTGAGGATAGGGCATTTGGCTGATGAGAGGACACAGAGGGACGATGAAATTGACAGAGGGGTTGTCCAGACTGGAATAAAATGGTGAGGAGATCATGAGGTTCCTGAAGCAATAGGTGTTGGGTGTCCACATCAGAGGGCTCCACAGTGTCCAGCACTGCAGGGAGTCACAGGTTGCTGTTGCTGACCTCCATGAGAACAGATGCTGAGGAGGGCTGGAAGGCTAAGGAGAGATGATCCAACACAGGCAAGGAAGGGATGAGCTGCCAGGACCAAGTTCCATCAGAGAGGGGTTATGATCCTGCAAACTGCATTGTTGAATCTCTTGTCCTGCTCTTGGTTCAGCCAGAATGTACTCCTGCTTAGGATGGAGACTTTGACTCAGAGTAAAGGGCTTGCTTCTTTCTACCAGAGATTGCCATTAGCCCCCAACTCCCATCACGAAACCAGAGCTGAGGCACTGACAGTCTCCTGATATCTGCCAGTTCTCTTTGACCTGGTTGAGTTGCACTGAGACTAATTACTAACAAATTGTGGGTCTATGGAAGTTTTTTCTTAGGCAGCCTTTCCCACTCCAACATGCACACAAGCCCACACACATGCACATGCACACTCAGACATAAGCACAAATATGCACATGCACACATGTGCACGTATACACAAGCATACTCAAGGAGAAGCATACATGCGCCCATATACATGCACACATGCACGTGTACACATATGTACATGTGCATACTCATACATGCATATTCATGTGCATGCAGATATCTATGCACATACATATACACTCACAAACACATACACACTCATGCATAATGCACATTCACACAAGCACAAATATATACTTGCATACTTACATGAACACATGCTCATCCACACACATACACACACAGGCTGATGGCTGTGTTCAGAGGTAAAAGTGTTGACCTCAGCTCACCACATGGAGATTTGTTCATCAGACGGGACATCCCTGCAAACACAAAGTGACCTTTAAGCAATGGCCTATATTCTTACGTAGGTTTCTAATTCATTTTGACTTTGAAAGTTTGTGGCAACACACGACAAACAGAAATTGCAGTCTCCTCCCCTAAAAGGCAAAGTAGACAAGTGTGCATATGTGTGAACACACACACACACATAAAATTACACAACACAGTGGAACGGAAGGGTCTGAGGAGGGAGGCAGCACCCTCAAGCCTGGTTGGGCAGTTTTCTCCTTGATCACAAGCCTCTAAACTCTTTGGGCCTCGGCTTTGGGTTTTTTTTGGGGGGGGTGGTCTTTTTGAGACAGGGTCTCCCTGTAGCCCCAGCTGTCCTGGAACTCACTATGTAGACCAGGCTGGCCTTGAACTCACAGAGATCTCCTGCCTCTGGCTCCTGAGTGCTGGGATTAAAGGCGTGCACCACCACGCCAAGCTGGCTTTATTTCTTTTAAAAAGTGGGATTGGGACCTGATGTTCTCCGTGTCTCTTGTGACTCTGACCTCCTGCAAGCCAGGGCAAGGCTTGGGGGCAAAGCTGCTCCTTAGAACTATGTTTGGCACTCTGCAGCAGATCATTCACCTGGCATGTGTAAAGGCCTGGGCCCCATCCCCATCTCTGCAAAGAAACTAAGCAAAAGAGCTCCACCCTTCCCTTCTCCCACCCCAAGTCAGAGGACCATCTCCAGCATTATGGGTTCCCTCTTACAGTGATCTTATGACAGTTCTGGGGCCTGGTCCCTGAGGACAGGAAACACTCCAGCCAGTGGCTAAGGACGTAGGGAGCAGAGTTTTACTTTCACTTATGAATCAGAGCCCTTGGTGGATTCTCTCCTCTTAGGACCCTTTTCAGTATCCCAGGGAGCATTGTGAGTGGCTCCTCTGTCCTCACTGCCCCTCACCTCCCCCACCCCTCCCCTCTTCGGTGTTTTTTTTGGAGATACTGATCCTCCAGTGCTGCTGGGGAGTGGGTGGATTTAAGACTGAAAGTTCTACCTTTGCCTGTTTTGCTCACAAATACCATCACCGTTTGACATGTGCCCTTCCTTTCCTCCGGCTGCTGAGCAACTTGCTCTGCAGAGCAGGGGTTTTCTCGGGGGCATCTTTTTCTCCCCAGGGTCCACAGGGTACATAGCTGTGCCCAGGTGAAGTTCACATGGTGGCCAGTTGGTCAAGAATGCATGAGAAGCTCCGTCCTTTCTCAAACTTCCTCTGTCTCCTCCTGTCTCCTCTGTGGGATCCTCAGATCCAGTTCCGTGCTCCACAGTGCTGCTTCTTTTAAAGATACATAATATGATCTTTTTGAGTGCTGTTTGAAGTTCTACTAAGGGAAAAGGTCCTTCTTGGGCCAAAGGAGAGTTAGAATCCAAGCTTCTGGCTGCAGAGTAGGCCTGTCAGGTGTCTTGCTCAGCTTTGCGAAGGTGATACCAAGGACAGACTGGCGCACACACACCTTTTTAGGACACGTTCTCAAGGCTGCCAGCTCCTTATAGTCCAATCACTGTGGAATCACAGCCAGTTAGAAGACACGGGATTTTAGAAATTGCTGCAACCCTTTTACCCTTTATGGTAATCAAGCCATAATACAATATGACAAGCAGGCACAGCTGGCGGCCTGCGTCACCTCCCCATCCCCAAGGAGAAGGATTGGTCCCCATGACACATTGACTTTGATGTCCTGGTGCTCGCCCTCTTTTGCATAGCAGTCCACTGATGACCATCACAGCCATGGACATGGAACTCTCTGCTTTAGTTCATACTCCTGGTGATCAGGTCCACAAAGCCCACTCAATAATGCTCTAACTCAAGAGGAACAGCACCCATAAGGACTCTTCATATCAATAACATATGAAAGAAGTGATTCCTGTGGGCCCAAACTCCTTTGATGGTGCTCCCAGGAGGCACATAAGTCAGATTAAAGAATCCCACAACTCCAAGGGCCATCAGCCTCCATAGAGGACAGTTCAGGAGGCTAGACTGGAGAGGGTTCACTTCATAATGGAAGGGCGTAGCATGGTTCCACTATTCAGCAAACACTCAGTGCCATAGAGGGCACTATACCTAACCTAGCTCCAAGCTGTCCTTGAATCATGGAGCCACCCCAGGTGGGAAGGTGAGAGAGCCTCTCACAGGATCCAGAGCTGAGAAATGGCATTGTTACATTTGCCACTGGGATTCAAGACTTCAATCCAGAATTTAATCATTCCAAGACCAGGATTCTTCTTCAGCTCCATAGCTGCCTGTCAACCCCAAAGTCTATCTATACTTTTGGCTCCAAACTTGTCCTGCATCTGCTTGGTGGGCTTCAGAGAGACATGATTTACACTGTGATACTGTTTCTACGTAGGCAATAATGAGCTGAGCAATAGCAAAATCTACTATGTATAAAAAATAAGAGATGACGATGACAACGATGATGATGATGATGAAGACAATGATAGTGATGGTGATGATAGTGATGGTGATGATAACAATGATGGTGATGGTGATGATAGTGATGGTGATGATAACAATGATGGTGATGGTGATGATAGTGATGGTGATGATAACAATGATGGTGATGGTGATGATAGTGATGGTGATGATAACAATGATGGTGATGGGGATGATAGTGATGGGGATGATAACAATGATGGTGATGGGGATGATAGTGATGGGGATGATAACAATGATGGTGATGGGGATGATAGTGATGGGGATGATAACAATGATGGTGATGGTGATGATAGTGATGGGGATGATAACAATGATGGTGATGGGGATGATAGTGATGGGGATGATAACAATGATGGTGATGGGGATGATAGTGATGGGGATGATAACAATGATGGTGATGGGGATGATAGTGATGGGGATGATAACAATGATGGTGATGGGGATGATAGTGATGGGGATGATAACAATGATGGTGATGGGGATGATAGTGATGGGGATGATAACAATGATGGTGATGGGGATGATAGTGATGGGGATGATAACAATGATGGTGATGGGGATGATAGTGATGGGGATGATAACAATGATGGTGATGGGGATGATAGTGATGGGGATGATAACAATGATGGTGATGGGGATGATAGTGATGGGGATGATAACAATGATGGTGATGGGGATGATAGTGATGGGGATGATAACAATGATGGTGATGGGGATGATAGTGATGGGGATGATAACAATGATGGTGATGGGGATGATAGTGATGGGGATGATAACAATGATGGTGATGGGGATGATAGTGATGGGGATGATAACAATGATGGTGATGGGGATGATAGTGATGGGGATGATAACAATGATGGTGATGGGGATGATAGTGATGGGGATGATAACAATGATGGTGATGGGGATGATAGTGATGGGGATGATAACAATGATGGTGATGGGGATGATAGTGATGGGGATGATAACAATGATGGTGATGGGGATGATAGTGATGGGGATGATAACAATGATGGTGATGGGGATGATAGTGATGGGGATGATAACAATGATGGTGATGGGGATGATAGTGATGGGGATGATAACAATGATGGTGATGGGGATGATAGTGATGGGGATGATAACAATGATGGTGATGGGGATGATAGTGATGGGGATGATAACAATGATGGTGATGGGGATGATAGTGATGGGGATGATAACAATGATGGTGATGGGGATGATAGTGATGGGGATGATAACAATGATGGTGATGGGGATGATAGTGATGGGGATGATAACAATGATGGTGATGGGGATGATAGTGATGGGGATGATAACAATGATGGTGATGGGGATGATAGTGATGGGGATGATAACAATGATGGTGATGGGGATGATAGTGATGGGGATGATAACAATGATGGTGATGGGGATGATAGTGATGGGGATGATAACAATGATGGTGATGGGGATGATAGTGATGGGGATGATAACAATGATGGTGATGGGGATGATAGTGATGGGGATGATAACAATGATGGTGATGGTGATGATAGTGATGGTGATGATAACAATGATGGTGATGGTGATGATAGTGATGGTGATGATAACAATGATGGTGATGGTGATGATAGTGATGGTGATGATAACAATGATGGTGATGGGGATGATAGTGATGGTGATGATAGTGATGGTGATGATAACAATGATAGTGATGGTGATGGTAGTGGTGATGATGATGATGATGATAGTGATGGTGATGACGATGATGATGATGGTAGTGGTGATAATGATGATAGTGATGGCGATCACAACATAATACACAGGATTTGATGTCTGTGTAGTGACCCCCATGTGCCTGGTATCATTTTAAGTACTTTCTGGCCATATTAGTGTATTTACTCTTCACAACTACACCATATTACTCTGCTATCAGCCCTGTTTTATGCAGGCAGCTAGTCGCTCCTTAAGCTAAGACAAACAAGATATCCTCTAAGCCACTTGGGGAAGTTAATATGTATGTGAGCCATTCTGCACCCTGTACATTTTAAGCCTCACTCTGTGCCATTTGGCAATGTCAGGACAATTTCAAGGATTTTGTTCTATAGAGAATAAACTGAGGCACACTAGGTCCAGACTTACAAAGTTTCTTGGCCTTTTCCTATGACTGACACTCTTGCCCTGTACTAGTTTCTTTTACATAGTGGTTACCATATACATGACAGAAACTAAGGCTGAAAGACTTATTTTAGCTTACGGTTTCAGAGGCCTCTACCCATTGTAGCAAAGAGAGTGTGTTAGGGTAGAGCAATTCACATCATACTGGCCAGGAAACAGAAACAAAGGAACACAGCAAGAAGTCAGGGCAAGATACAATCCCCAGCTACCTACTTCCTCCAACTACACCTTACCTCCAACCTTTCACAACCAAACCATAATATTACAAATCTATCAAGAGATCAGCCCATTGATTTGATCAGAGCCTTCACAGTCTAATTATCTTTGGAGACTCCCTCAAGAACCCATGCAGAGGTGGGTTTTACTAATCTGGGTGTTTCTCAGTCAAATTAAGTTGACAGTGAACATCAACCCTTGTCTCTTGTGCCAGGTCCTCGACAACCTGGACAGCCACCTGAAGAAGTCAGAATACTTCCGCTTCCTCTGGTTCCCACACAGCGAGAACGTCAGCGTCATCTACCAAGATCACACCAGCAAGGTAGCGACAGCATGTGCCCAGCTTTACACAGCATCGTGAAGCAGGGAGCTGCCAGTCACTAGCACACAACTTCTCAGTCCTCACCATGTACACAGCCTACATACCCTCCTCCTCCCAGGGTGGCTGACATGTGTCATCCTCATGGCCAGTAAGATGGGAGTTTCACTGAATAGGAGGAGAGGTCATAGGGTAGAAGGAAGAAGGAAGGTGGCTAAATGGGGTTCCAGTGTGTGTGAGAGCCAAGATATAGGGAGATGGAAACAGAGAAAAATTCAGGCAAGAGTAAAAAAGATGGATTCAAGCCCCAGACACCTGGGCTGGACCACAAACACTTTCATGCCTCTCTCCTTTCCTGTAACACCACAACTCTCCATCTCTAGTTCTTCGGTTGAAAAGACAGTTTTGTTTCCCACCCCAGTGTCCTTAGCAAGCAGGCCGCTTATCAGCAGAAGAAAACCAAGTCATCACTAATGGGGCAGACTTGATGGCTCTGTCAAAAAACTACTTGCATGAGGACTCAAGTTTGATCCCCAGCACCCACATAAAATCCCAGCACTGGGGAAGCAGAGACAGGAGGATCCCTGGGGTTTGTTCACCAGTCAGCCTAGTAACTTAGTAAGCTCCAGTCTCAAAAAATAAGATGGATAATGACTGAAGAAAGCAGCCAATGTTGGCCTCTGTCCTCTATATGCATATGCATACATGTGTATACACACACACACACACACCTGCAATTTTTTAAAGACATATAATGAATGTCAGTGGCACCCTAAATCCTACAGTGAATTGGGGGACTGTGTAGGGTTTAAAAGGAAGCTGCTGGACACCTGGTCCATTTGGATCTAAAGAGGAGAGACAGGTGGTATCTTTGTGCTACGAAAAGTAAATGAGGGCCAGTAAAATAGCTCAGCTCATAAAGACATTGACTGCCAAGCCTGAAGACCTGAGTTCGATCCCTGGGACCCACATGGTAGAAGGAGAAAACTGACTCTTGCAAGTTGTCCTCTGATCTCCACACTTGCACCATAGCACATGCATGCCCACATATACACATGCACACACAAATAAGGAAATGTAATTTTTTTAAATTAATAAACACATACATAGAGTAATAGTCATGAGATGAAAGAGAGGGAGGGAGGAAACCGACTCTGCATGGAAAAATAAGGATTCTGGTTGTCCTGGTGGGTCACCTTACTTTTCTCTCTCCCCTCCAACATGAAGTCACTCCTGGGACATGTCTCCCCTGATGGGACATTATGATAAACAAGCCAGAAGGCAGTTCAGGCCCTGGTACCTAATTCATGATATATTCTCCTCCCCAGGCTCCCTCCTCTTCAACTAGCTGGTTTTGGGACTACGCCATTGGATTCTACTTACTGGAGCTTCTGCTCTGGACCAGGTAGGACTCTGCCACGTCTCCTCTGCCATATTCTACTGAAGACACAGTACATCAGAAAAATAACACGATTGGCTCCAGCTCCTGGGTCTAGGACTGTGGTTTCCATCTTGACCGTACAACTAGACCACCTGGAGAGCTTGAGGTTCATCCTAAGGGCAATGAAAGTCAATAGAAAGATTTGAAGGCATGGTTTTAAATGAGCCACCAGGGGCTATGAAACAGTGGACTGGATGGGGCATGAGGGAATGTGGGAGGCACTGCGGCATGAGTCCACAAGAATAATGCCCATGAAGAGGTGGGGGCAGTGGTAGTGGGGAAAGTGGGTGCATGGGTAGATAGATGGAATGGATTCCAGATGTCACTTTTTTTTTTCCATTGCTTTGACAAACACCTGAGAAAATCAACTTAAAGGAGGAAAGATTTATTTTGGCTCATGGGTTTAGAGGTTTCCATTCATGGCTGTTTGGTTCCATTGCTGTGGGCCTGAGGCAGACAGACATGATCAAGAGTCATAATAGAGCAGAGCTGCTCACATAACAGCAGTCAGGAGACAGAAAGAGAGACGTCTTTAACAATAAGCTTTTGAGGGAAACACTTCATATTCTAACCACATTGCCAGTCATCTCTGGAAGGAGGAAATGTCTAGACTAAGAACAAGTAAACTGCAGGAGAGTCCAGACATAGGCTAAGTGATTCTATAGGTAGGCTGACCAGTGCTTTCACAGAGTGAGTAGCCCAGTGGTGCTGAGACTGTAGATTTATTCCCCAGCAGCTCACAGCTGGAAGTAGAAGGTACAGCACTGTCATCAAGGGGACCATGTGGTGCATGTGTCCATCTGGACTATTTGTTTTGAGTCATCTCCAAATAGGAGGAGATGAGGAAACGCGGATTCTCCTTCCTAGAATTTCATTCTGTCACTCCTGTGCCATTGACCTCTCACTCCATCCCAGAATTTTCCCCACTGGTACCCAAGCCAACTGAAGAATTTCTTCTCTGGCTCCCACAGTCCTCTGTACTCTCCCAGAGGTGTGACTCACCCTGAAGCAGTCTGAGGAGCTGCCTGAATCTGAGTCATCTTTCTAGTGAAGTGCCTGGCACCTGATGTGTAAGGCTCAAGAGGGGTTTACAGGAAGAAAGTACAATGGACATTGGCCTCAACGGGGGGCAGGGGGGTCCATCAGCCTTGGCTTCAGGCTCCTGCTCTATCACCAAGGAGTTCTGGGACAAGCTTCATAAGTCTCTTCATGCGTCAGTGTCCCTGTCTAAAGAAAAGAAGTAGTAATAGTGTCCATCTCAGAGTTGCAAGGACATCTGAGGTTATTTAAGCCCGTCACACAACTCTTGACATATGACTAGGGTAGTAAGTGCTGGCCGTTACCTTTTGCTATAAGGGTTGCCTTCCACACTTCCCACTCCAGGCTCTTGCCACTCCAAGTGTCTCATCATGAGGAAAGCTCTGTTTAGAGGCTGCAGACCCAGGCGGACCATGATAGAACTGCAGTTTTTTGATGATTAGGTCAAAGACTAGATCAACCTCAGATGCATCCACTCCTCATCTCCCCTGTTCCACACTGGCATCATCCTGTCAGCCCCACAGCAGCCCCTTCCATGACTCCACCTGCATCCCTGCACTCCTGCACCCTCTACACGGCACTCAGGCTAATCATTACAAAAGACAGATCCAATTCTCTTACTTCCTGACTGTATTCGTAACTTTTCTGTTGCTGTAATAAAAACAGTGACCAAAGCAACTTATTTTAAGGAAGAGTTTATGGTTCCAGGGATAAGGGTCCATAATGGCCAGGGGTGGGGGTTTGGAAGAAGGAAGCGACTGGGGCAGAAAGCTGACCAATCACATCAGGCACAGGGAACAGAGAGATTAGAAAATCCAGCAAGGCTTAAGAGCTCTCAAAGCCCACCTCCAGTGACTGGCTTCTTCCAGCAGGGCCACACCTCCTAAAGGTTCCACGACCCTCCCCAAACAGCTCCACAAACTGGGAACCAAGTGTCCAAATACTTGGAGCTTATCGGGGACATTTTCATTCAAACCACCACACTGACCAATAGCAAATGGGCTTTTCTTTAAGACATAATTTACATCCCATGCAGTTCCCTTTAGGCATGCCATCCAGTAGCTCCTGTGTATTCAGTCTTACATAGCCATTCCCTCGTTTATGGTTCAACCAGGTCAAGAGAGCCACAGGATGGAGCCTTCTTGCTGTGAGTCCTCAGTGGCTCCACAGGAGTTGTAGGGGAGATATTAAGAGCCGGCTCAGCTGAGCAGGGCTCTGAATTGTCCTTTATCCTGGTGACTGAGTCTCTCCAGGACCCAGGTCTGGTGGGAGTTCAGTTCATGCATAGATTGACAGCCCTCTCCCCCATGCCCCACAGCAAGTCTCAGGACCTCAGCCCTGTGCCTGGCTCCAGTCTGGCTGTTCTGAAGCTGCCTGGCAGGTGCTGTTTATACCCTGCAACTGAGATTCTAGAAAGACACAGCTTTGCATCCTTCCCATCTCTGGATGGCCCCCAGGCCTTTCCCTGTCCCTGAGCCTGGAGTACAGTATGGTTATAGGAGAGCCTAGGCTCTGGGGCCTCAGGCAGATCCAGCTGGGATGCACGCCCTGGAGACCCAGGCATAGAAGGCAGATAGAATGTTAGCTTGAATTACAGCAAATGACCTGCTGGTGCCAGAACCACCTTGAGGGTCTCTGCCCTGCCCCCTCCTTCCAGGCAGGTGCCGTGGTGCTGGGTCTCACCCTGCACCACCATGGCACAATGCTGGCTGTGTTTGTGGATTTGCGGCTTGTTCACAATGAACATTTAATTTTCTTATAAAGAGAAAAAGAAACTTGTGCCTTTGCATATGTGTTTATGCATATGCGTGCATGTGTGTCTCTGTGTGTGTGTCTATACATATGCATGTGTCTATATGTCTGTGTGCATGTGTATATGTTTCTGTGTGTCTGTATGTGTATACACATGTGTATATGTGTACCTGTGTCTGTATATCCTTCTACAGGTATGTATATGTGTATGTGTGTGCATATGCATATTTATGCATTTGTGTATGCACACATATGCATTTGTGTCTGTGTGTGTGCATGTGTGTGTGTGTGTGTGTGTGTGCATGTTTATGTGTGAAGATTTTGAAGCCCAGGGCATGGTGAACTTTCTAGAACTTAAAGCTAAGTGGCAGTTCTGTCCTGGCCCAAGAAGCACAGAAGTCCCCTTCATAACTCCTGGGGTATTGCCCACTGTCATTTCTAGGAACAAGGGTCTAATACAGGACCCTTCCCTGGAGCACTGGCCCCTGTTGGATGTTTAATCCCAGTGATATTGAATCAAAAAGCTTCCCAGGGTGTTGAAAGGGGAGCGAATGCTGTAGTTGTTATGAAGCTGAACCTGGTGGCCACTGCTGAAGTCAAAACCCACTTAGCTTTGCTCCAGCTGGCTGGTAAGGCTTTGGGCCAAGGACATCTGTCATCATGTGGCATGAAGGGAAAAGACATTAAAAACAGTATGAATGGCTGTCGGTAGGTGACTAGCATGAAGAAATGTGCAGTCTCCCTACTGGGACCAACATGTGGCTAGTGGAAGAATAGCTTGGCACTGTACTGGCCCAGCCTGGAGAGAGCTCTGATCTAGACACCCAACAAGGCCACAGAGGGACAGGAACATGTCAGGAGTGAGGCACTGGTCTGGAAAGAATGCACCTCATGCCTGCATACAGCTGGCACACAGTCAATGCCAGGTCCCCACCCCTGTGCCCTGTCCCCTGCAGCACCTTCCTGCCCTGCCTCGTGGGCTGGATCAACCGCTTCTTCTTCTGGCTACTGTTCAACTGTACGAAGGAGAACAGCAACATCAGCCACAAGATCTTCACTTATGAGTGTCGCTTCAAGCAGCACGTGCAGGACTGGGCCATCCCTAGGTAAGGCCCTCTCCTAGAGCTACCATGAGAAATGGGCTCCTCCAGAGCCAGGGGTCCCTGGTCTTCTTGTATGTCCCAGACTGAGATCTCATGGGGCTGGGAGCCCATACAGGGCCCATGGAGAAGTGTCTGGGGTAGTCTCTTCTGGCCCTGAGATCTGGACCCCATCCCTTGGGCTGAGGGCAGGGAGAAGACCAAGGAGGCCCTGCTGGAGCTGAAGGCCATGCTGGAGGCCCACCCCAAGGTGGTGGCCCACTACCCTGTGGAGGTGCGCTTCACCAGGGGTGATGACATCCTACTGAGCCCCTGTTTCCAGAGAGACAGCTGCTACATGAACATCATCATGTACAGGTGACAGCTGGCTGCATGGCGGCGCGGGGGCCTGGGGGCGGCTGTCCCCTCACAAGTAAAGGGGTTCCTCTCCTTCACTCTTTCAGTGCCTGCTCTGAGGCCACCTTCTCTAGAAGGGTCTACACTGATTCCGGGTTTTTATAGCATATCCCTCTTGGAGACTCTTACCACATACCATTTATAGTCTATGCTGTTGCCATATTATTAATATTACTGGTGAATTAATATTAATTAGGAATATCTACCACTTGTGAGGCTGGTATCGTAGATAAGCAATTCTAGCTCGGGTGCCCGTGCCAGGAGCAGGTTCTGCTAGCCTGGAATTCATGCTGTGTTAAGCAATGTCCTGAGGCTGGTTTAAGTTCGACGGGAGAGAGGGTGGTGCCCGATGTCAGGTGCCATCTGCATGGATGCGTTTGTCAATCCCAACAGCTCTGTCAGGCACTGGCTGAGCCTCTGCCCGTAGCTGACTCTCTTTTCTCTCACCAGTTGGGATGAGGCACCTGAAGGAGTCCGTCTTTTCCAGCTTCTCACTAAGCTGCGTCTTCCTCCCCTTTCACACCTTCATCTGTCACAGCCCTTCTCCTGCTTTGCGCTATGGAATGCCCTGTGCTCTAGTTTGCATTCTGTTGCTATGGTCAAACACCAGGACCGAAAGCAACTTCCGAAGGAAAGGGTTTATTTCATTTTACACTTCCAGGTCACAGTTCATCACTGAAGGAAGTCAGGGCAGGAACTGAATTGGCGACAGCAGAGGAACGCTGCTTTCAGGCTCATTCCCCCTGGCTTGCTCGGCTACCTTTCTTATACAGCCCCAGGCCCCCCTGCCCAAGGATGGCACCCCCAACAGTGGGCTGAGCCCTCCTATATCAATTAGCACTCAGGAAAATGCCCCACATACATGCTTATGGACCAGTCTGATGGAGGAAATTCCCCAACTGAGGTTGCTTCTTCCCAGGTGTGACATGTTGACACCTGGCCACCCTAATCCTACTGAAGTGTGCCTCCCCCATGTGAAAGACCCAAAAATCGCTGCAAACCCAGGAACAATCAAAGAATGCATGCTTCTGCGTGCCCTGAAGAGGCACAAAAGAGTTTCTGAAAGACAGTTGAAGAGACAGTAGTTTATTCATAGAAGAGCACAATTGTGGTGAGGCTCAGGCGTCAGCTGTCTGGGTGTCTGCTCTCCTTTTCACTCCTTGTGAGCTCAAGTGCAGAAGTGAGAGTTGCATGGGATGCATCTGATGCATTTCGGATAAGCTTGTCTAAGATGTTAGAGGTTTTGGGGGTTGGTTAGCCTGGCTTGGCCCAGTGAATGCACAGGAGGGCTGACCTGTGACATTCATTGTGTTACCTGGCCATGCTTTCCAGACACAAAGGAGGTCAAATGTTCCAAGGCACTAGCCATAGTGTGTGTGTGTGTGTGTGTGTGTGCAAGTATTGTATGTAATGTGTGTGTCGTGTGTATATTTTGTGTGACTATTATATGTATGAATATCGTGTGTGTTATGTTTGTGTTGTGTATTAAGTGTGCAAGTGTCCTGTGTGTAAATATTGTGTGTATGAATACTGTGCTATAAGAATCACTGGTGTAAGTAGTATGTGAGTATTGTGTTGTATTATCGGTGAGTATTGTAAGTATTGTACGCACGTAAGCATTGTGTTGTGTCACACTTATGCATTGCTTACAATGAGGACACACTCTGACAAACACATTGTTAGTGACTGCATCACAATGAACATCACCTGGTGGCCTGCCACAAACCTGGGTGGCGTACCCTTCTGTACACCCTGGCAGCTGCTGCTAGCCTGTATGCCTGTACAACACATTACTACCGTGGGCAATTGTATTCGTGTATCTAATGTGGGGAAATGGCAAAGACACTGGACAATAGAAATGTTTCAGTTCCATAACTGTAAGGGCCTGTGGCTAAGATCAAACTCGCAATAGGTCCGGGTACCAATTGATTAATACACAAGGGAGCACACAGTCTTCAGGATCCCCTGGGGATGAGCCGGGAGTAGAAGCCTGCAGGTGCTGGTCCCTGAGGGCACTGTCCTGTGAGCGAAGCCAGCCTGATCTCACTTGCCAAGTGAGAGCCAGTCATGGGGAAATTGCTTGAGGCCCTGAGTGGGACATCATGAGACAGGGCCAGTTAACCACTTTCTGCCTCCTCCCCACCAATCAGGCCCTATGGCAAAGATGTGCCCCGGCTGGACTACTGGCTAGCCTATGAGACCATCATGAAGAAGTTCGGGGGCAGGCCCCACTGGGCCAAGGTAAGGCGTTCAGGGGAGTCCCCTGCACCCCGGCCTTGGGCAGCTGCTATGTGCCTGGCCTCCACCAGAGGGAGCCACTCCTCCCAGGTCCTCTGAGGCCCCAGCCTGAGCCGCAGAGCAAAGTTACAGCCCGGCGCCTGTTTCTCAGGCCCTATCCCCTCCCGCCCTCCGGAAGTCGAGACATCACAATGCCCTTGGGGTTTTCATAGCAACGGCTCCTCTTTCACTTTATCAGATTCTCATAGCTAGCCTGTGGGCAGGATAAGGCAGGCATAGGGCACCCACTTAAAAGATGGGAAAGCGAGGACCCGTGCAGAGTGGGGACCAGGGCCCCTCCATGGTGCCACAGGATGGGGATCCAGTGTTGGGCTCTAACCTCCTCTGGCTTCACTTTCCAGACTCCTTTCTTTTTTAAAATTTTATTTATTATTTTTATTTTATGTGTATGAGTGTATTGCCTGCATATAAGTGTACCCATGTTGTGCAATGCACATGGAGGTCAGAAGAGAGGGGTCAGAGCCCCTGGAACTGAAGTTACAGACAGTTAATGGTTGTTAGCTGCCATGTGGGGGCTGGGAATTGAACCCAGGTCTTCTTCAAGAGCAGCCAGTGCTCTTAACTGCTGAACCATCTCTACACACACAAACACACACACACACACACACACACACACACACGTGCGACCCTTTTCTCTTTGTTTAAGGGTCTTCAATGTGTGCATGTGTGTGTGTCTGAGGGAGTAGTGTCATAACACAGGTTTAGGGACTCAGGGTACCTGGCCTGCAGTCTGGCTTGAGCTACCAGCTTGGTGAGGATGAGGTCTATTGCTTCTGGTTTCTTCCACAGGCCCACAACTGTACCAGGAAGGACTTCGAGAAAATGTACCCCTCTTTTTCAAAGTTCTGTGCCATCCGGGAGAGACTGGACCCCACTGGCATGTTCCTGAATTCTTACCTGGAGAAGGTGTTCTACTGAGTGGGGAGTAGAAACAAGCCATCCCGCAGACCTCTCCTACTGCTGCTGTGATTTGGGTGGGAGTCCCGGGTCCCACTAGCCCAATGGGAGCAGTCCTCCCCTTCCAACCAGAGATGGGCTGGGCCCTGGGCTCCCTTCTCCATCATCCTCACATCTTCCTGGCAACAGGAGGTGGCTTCTCACCCAAATCCCTGTCTCCACACCCCAACCCCACTTCACCTCCCTGCAACTACAATCACCACATCTTCTTTTCCCGGGAGAAAGGTGCACCCTAACACCTAATATTTGCTTAGGTCAGGGATTTGGTCATTCCTAGATTCCACCTGCCAGCCAGGTGTAGTGTAATCCTGGAGGCCTGCAGCTTCCGGTTTCTAGAAGGAGCCCCTTGGCAAAAGTTTGGGCACAGAGGTGACAGGAACCATGCTCTTTTCTTTCTGGGTCTTCCGGACATTCAGAGACTGCCTGTTGGGGTTGTCCTGGATGCGCTCTCTTCCAGATGGGTCCACCTGGCCACCTAACTGCCACAGCCCGACCCTCAGGGTGTCTCTTTCAGGGGACAATTAGAATGGCACTCCCTTCACCTTCTTAATAAAGACCAGCAGTTGATACTCTATGTTCTCTTCCCTTCGCCTCCAACACAGTTCTTTGGAGCAGAGGCTCACCATTTCCTTGGCTTCCCTGACCCCAGCCCTCCACCCCCTACCCCTCCACCATTCCTCATCTTCCTCTTTACAAGCATAATTTTAGTTTGCTTTGTGGCCTTTCTGGGGGTGATCTTTGGGGAGCCATGATGCTCCAGGTACTTTGTAGGAATTAAAAGAACCTGAGGATATTTTTCTGCCCTTGAGAAATTATATTTTAATTCTGTACTCATAAGGGGTTGGTTAATAAGAGAACTGTACAAAAACAGTCCGATCAACAAAGAGGCAAAACACTTAGACATTTTTCCACAAAAGATATACAAATGACCAACAAACACATAAAAAGTTGTTCAGCATCGTTACCTATTAGGGAAATGCAGATGAAGCCATAATGTTAAGCCAATGTTAGTATCAACAATAACAAAATGTTTAAAGCACAGACTTACTTAAAACAGTATGAGATTTTTTATAGGTTTTTTTTTTATAACTCAATTGCACAGAACTTTGTAAGATGATGGTTGTACTGCAATGTCAAAAGGCTGGACACACCTGCCAGGGGAAGCTTTGAGGTCATTAAAGTACTCTCTAACTCCAGCCTGAGTTTGCGCCCTTCAGGACTGCCCTGCACATTGGGGCCTCTCAATATCAGGAATTCAATCTTGAAAGCGAATCTCTAGTGATAGCTGTGTCCATTCACGTTATTTTTCTTTGGAGTGTTCTGACCAACACCCCAGGAAAGAAATGGATTGATGCAGCTGATAAAAGGAAAAATGGTAAGCCAAACTCAGAGGCTTTGGAAATCAATAAGTCTAAATCACCCCACCGCTGCCCTTCTACAGATGAGGAAACCCAGGCTCAGAGAAGAAACTTGCCCAATATCACACAGCAAGATAGAAAAGCCAGTGCCCTTAAACTCTTCAAGCACAGTGAGGGAATGGGACAAGCTACACAGACATAGGAGAAAGAGAGAGACACAACCACCAAGCTGCCTGGCAGCAGGACACCACGTGACACTCATACAGTGGAGGAAGAAGACCACCCCAAACCAGCTGGGGCCAACAGAGCTGACCCAGATGACTGCCCACTGTCCTTTTGCATCTTTACACTATTAACCTTGCAAAACTGCCTTTCCCATCATGCATCTGATACCGTGACACATCTGGAAAACCCCAAAGGACAAAAAAAGGGAAGAAACATTATTCTGGGAAAAGCCACACCCACTCCTGGAATCACCCACCCCACCTTAACTTTTGTAAGTAATCATCCTGTCCCTCCATTCAAGTTTGTCCATAAAAGGAGCTATCCAAATCCCTAGTGATGCCACTCTCTGGAGAAGCCCGCTCTTCCTCAACTGTACCTCTATCCTTTTCTTAGTGCATCTCTCTCAACACCCACACCTGAAGTAAAGCATGCACTCTCTTTCTTCTTAGCACCTGAGCAGCAGCCTGGGGCGAGCTCCTCAGACAGCCCCACCAGCAACAGGAGTCACAGGCCGCACTGCCGGAGACAAGAGCACACTTTGCAGCCGTTAGCTTAGCTTAGACTCTGACTCTTAAACTCTATGGATTTCACATTCTGTTCAAGACAATAAGAGAAGCAGACCAATGACTTAGGTCTGAAACCTCAAAGTTCTAGAATTCTGCCAACCCAATGTTCTAGAAACACACATTTTAATTACCAGAAAACCTAGGTACCCTTTGGGGCTTTGGCTTTTGATGAATGTAATTTATTCTTTCTTTGAGCTGGTATCTTTCTTTTTTAATTTTTATTTATTTATTTGTTTTAATTTTGTGTGTATGAGTGCTTTGCCTGCAAGTATGTTAAGTGCATTCATGCATGCAATGCCAGTGGGGGCCAGAAGAGGGCATCAGGTCCCCTGGAACTGGAATTATGAATGGTTGTCAGCTACTATGTGAACCCAGTGCTGGGAACTGAACCCAGGCCCTCTGCAAAAGCAGCCAGTGCTCTTAACTGCTGAGCCATCGCTCCATCCCCTGGTATCTTTCTTTTAAAATATTTATTTATGGGGCTGGAGCGATGGCTCAGCAGTTGAGAGTACTGACTGCTCTTTCAGAGGACCTGGGTTCAATTCCCAGCACCCACATGGTGGCTACGAACCGTCCTTAACTCCAGTTCCAGGGGAATCTGAAGCCCTCTTCTGACATCCATGGCATTGCACAACACAGGTGCACTCACATACACGCAGGCAATATACTCATACACATAAAATAAAAAATAAATAAAATATTTAAAATAGTTATTTATTTTGTATGGGTGTTTTACCTGCATGTATATATGTGTACTTGTGTTTCAATGCTTCTGGAGGCCAGAAGAGGATGTCAGATCCCCTGGAACTGGAGTTATAGATGGTTCTTAGCCACCATGTGGGTGCTGGGAGCCAAACCTGGATGCTCTGCAAGAGCAGTCAGTGCTCTTAACCACTGAGCCACCTCCCCAGCCCCAAGCTGGTGTCTTTTGATGCCTGAAGGTCATCTGTCCAAAGATTCCCATCAGACAATCCTTCTGACACTGAGTCAGACCAATAACTTGGGTCTATTCTGACAGTGAGGGAACAGGACACGCTGTGTCTATAAGTTGGGCTCCTAAGGGTGGTGCTGATCTGGGTTCACTTTCTCCTCTCTCCCTCCTTCTTCCTTCTGCCAGTTCTGTTCCAAGTTCCTATTAGCTGAGTTCTGTCTTGCAGCTGCCTCCCTATTGGCTGAACCTGAGGTGTCATGAGCCAGCCCCTCCCCTTGGTGGCAAGCACTGTCCTCATCTCTAGGTGTGGGAAATCATAGGTGCTGAGATGTTGCATCTGCCCTCAAAGACAGGGCCCTTAACAGCAGGCAACAATTACTAGAGCATGCAAGAATTTGAAAGAGCCTAATCCCACAGATCAGGGGAGCCTGGGCTGCAAACCTACAAAATAGAGGGGAACACCACCCAGCAATGGGGAGCAGATTGCTAAATGTCTGGGATGCTGACTTCAACTTTGCCTTGACGTCTTCTCTATGAGACAGGGCCTTTTAGAGGTCAAGAGAGGCCCAGACATTTCCCCAAAATTCCAAATAGAGTCATCCAAGTGTTTTTCTGGTCTTACATTTTGACATGTGTTTACACACACACACACACACACACACACACACACACACACACACATACTTACAGGATATCTTTACACACCGAAAGTAAGGCAGCAGTATGCTGTGTTCAAGGTAATTGTGGGACAGTTTCAAAAAATAGTCCTTCATTGATGAGGGCATATGGGCTACTGATCTGGAAAATGCCCCCTTTCCTAGCATGGTGTCACTGTGTTACTGTGGCTTCACACATACAGAGTCACTGGCAAAGATGTAGAGATACCTTATGGACATGGGCTAGAAGAAGTGGTCTGCCAGTCATCCTCATCCCTGTGATGTGCCTTAGGGACACACAGAGAGACTGGAGGCAACAACTAGGTCACGGAGAATGTCTGGGGCCAGTTCAAGGTCATGGGTGCTAGTACAAGAAGTAAAGACAGGCAGGTCATGTTGCCCATCTCTCGCATGTATAACCTTCCCATCTCCCTCAGGGTGGGCCAGAACTGGTCAGAGCTGCTGTTGGAGCCTCAGTGAGAGTGCTGGGGGCAAGAGCAGCCTCACAAAGACTGATTCTGCCCGGCCACCACGGAACAATGTTGTAGTCAGGGAGGATATGAGCAAGAGATTGGGATCAGAGGTTAACCAGGTTAGAGTGAGACCAGCTCAGAGACAGAGTTCATTATGAACCTTGTAAGTATGCTGCAGTCGGTCTGCCATTTGTCACTGTGCTGGCAGGTGTGGTGAGCACCATTCTACGACTGAACTCTGACCACCCAAGTCCTTTCTGTACTGTCTCCAGGGCTGCTTTGCGCACCCTAGATTGGCCAAGTTCTACTGTGGCTGGAAAATGCCAGGCAAGGCTAGGTCTGCAGAGGACACTGAGTTGGAAGCCCTAGCAGCTAAAAGCTGCAGCAAATTCCCTTTGGTCCCCAGACCTGGCATTACTACTACAGGACTTCAAATACATTGTTTCTGCAGTGTCAGCATCCCTCACAATGACCTCTGTTTGTGAACAATCAGCTTGTTTGTTCCTTTGCTTTGTCATTGTTTTAAGGAAGCGTCCCACATATACCAGGCTGGTCTCAAACTTGCAATGTAGCAGACGGATGACCTTGAGTTTCTGATCTTCCTGTCCTTACCTCCCCAGTGCTGTGGTTACAGGCATGTGCACCAAGCCAGTTTATGCTGTGCTAGGGATGGAACTCAGGACCTTCCACGTGCTGGGTGTCTTGGTCACTTTTCTGTTGCTGTGACAGAAGCACCATGACTAAGGGAACTTATAAAAGGAAGAGTTTATTTAGCTTATGGTTCCAAAGGGACAAGAGTCTGTCCATCATGGCAGGGAGGCATGGTGGCAGAGGTGGCTGGGGGAGGAGCGGAAGCTGAACTCTCACATCTTCAAGCAGGCACAGGAAGCAAGAGAGGGACTCCAAGATCCACCAAGGCTTAAGAACTCTCTAAGCCCGCCCCCAGTGACGTGCTTCCTTCAGCATGGCCACACCCTCTAAGACCTCCCAAAACAGCCCACCAACTGGGGACAAAATGTCCAAATACTTGGAGCCTATGGGGAACATTTTCATTCAAACCACCACACTAGACAAGCACTCTACCAACTGAGCCACATCCCCAGCCTAACAGTCAGCTTGTTGTGGAGGGGGAACTTACTAGAGGCACAGATATGAAACCCTTTGTTCTATCTCATTGGTGCTCTCACATGCTGACACCTCCAGCAGACCATGTATCTTCCAAAAGCCTCCACAGTTAATAGAATACTTCATTTGCTTAAGAAGATGAGTCTCACTTCCAAAGCAAAATTCTTCCTGCTCCACAAAGATTGGCCCATCTGCCAACCACTGCCCTGCCACCATGTACATGTGCGCGGCTCCCTTCTCCATGCTTCTTCACAGTGAGGGATGGGCAACCCTGAGCTTCCTCCACCAGCCTCTGTGGGCCTTGGCGAACTGGAGGGAGGTATTCCTACCTCCTGGCCTTTCCATCCCCAAGACAGTTCCCAGCTACAGATTGCTTCTTTGTAATGTTGAGGACATAACCCTGCCCTGAGGGTGATTGTGGGGACTTGATGGGATGGCAGGAGGACTTTGGTGAGCCACAGTTTAGAGATGCACAATGCTGTGGCCACACAACTGCAGCGTCATTTCACCTTGAAGTCACAAGAGATTGCTTTTTAGTATACTTGCCCAGCAGATGGTGGTCAGATGTAGGGGCTAACAGGCAGGCTTGTGTCTACCCACTTCTCCTAGAAGACAGACATCAAATGCCTCTCTTCTCAGACCACTAAGCCAGAAACCAGGGCCTCATTATCCACTGTTCCCAACCATAACACAATGTGTCCCCACACCTCAGTGATTGGCAACTGAACTCAAAGCCATGGACTTTTTTTTGTTTCTAGTCTGACAAGCACTCTACTAACTGTGCTACATTCCCAGCCGCCCCGCCCCAAATGGTCTTGTGTCCTTCCTAGATCTTTCTAGTTCCTCACTTTGAACGTCTTTTGAAAATAAACACTTGCCCAAAGACCCTCAAACTGTGAACAGGAGGAAAGAGGAGACAGAAGAGACCCAGGGAAACTCAGAGTCAACTGCAGGGTTGACCATGCAAGGCACTAGCAGATGAAGTTTAAAACGGGTGCATGAATAAGGCCTCAATGCTGTATATAGTGATTGCCAGGATCTAGCAACCCAGTCATAAAAGAAAATGATCACGCATACTAAGTGGTCCCAATGTGATATGTAATCTACAATTATAGCCATTAAATAACTCCTCTAATTCATGTAGAACATTAAGAGAATTGTACTGAGTTTCCTCTGATTTCCTTAACTGAAGTACAAAAATATTAACTTTAGACATAAGCTGGGACTTGGATGTTTATTGGTCAGATGGTCAGGATAATTGGTACCTTAAGAGAAAAGGGGCAGCGACCTAAGAATATCCTCAACTTTGTGTCCATGTGGACTTTGAGTGTCCATGTGGACTTTGTGGCGAACCTTGGATACATCCAGGTGATATTCTTCCATTTACAGCAAATCTGATGGACAAAGTCTACGATTAGAAAACAATAAAGAAGCTTGATGCGCTCCATGGAGATGCAGACCATGGTTAGTAAGCGCCACCTGCTGGTGGAATTGGGTACTGAGGCAAGCTGTATTTCTGAGCAGGGAATGAATAAATACAAAACTCCTGAACAGAGAAATAAATGTCCAATAAAAAGATGACGATGGTATGGACAGAGATCCCACAGTCTAGGAGATGCCCCCAGGATCCTGAGTTCTTGCAACTAAATGACTTCCTCATTTTCTGCCAACTAGTTTCCATAAGGGAACTATCAACTACATGTTAACCCCATGTGCCCTAGTATCAACCCTCTTTACCATGATTTTCAAAGCATCCTTTGGAAGACTGCCGCAGCCCAGTCAGACTAGATGGACAGTGCTGTGATGGGAAGGAACAGCCTCATGCTACAGCAATTCACCTCAGTGGCTTGTTGGAATACACCTCTCTCCAAAAGCCAGAGGCTCTCCAAATTGATCATCTGTGTGTGATCCCTACCTTTGACTCTCCACTGTGTGATGAGCCCTGTACCATCTCAGCCACTTTTTTGTGTTTTTATTTCTTTTGTGTGGTGGAGTGAGTGTTCATATGGGGGGGGGGCAGGTAGGGATGTGTGGAAACCAGAGATCAACCTCAGGTGTCGTTCCTCAGTCACTGTCACCTTTGTTTTTGAGACAGGGTCTTTCACAAGACCATCAGGCTCGGCTGGCTGGCCAGTGAGCTCCAGGGATCCTCTCTGTTTCCTCCTTCCCAGTGCTGAGGTTATAGGCATGTGTCACCACGCCTGGCTTTTTACATGGGTTTGGTGGAACAAACCAGGCCCTCACGCTTGTGCAGCAAGCCTTTACCAGCCAAGCTACCTCCCCAGCCCTCTGTTTTTTTCTTTCCTCCCCATTGCAAATGAAGGAGTGTGGACTATAGGAAATCTAGTATGAAAACAGGCCAGGGAGTACGCAGGTTTTAGGCAGCTTTATTGAATTAGTTGCATGGAGAAGCAGGCCCTCCCAGGAGCATCAAATGCAGGCATTAATGTGCAGAATCCAGAGGAAGGAGAGGCTGGTAGGGTAGAGGCCTAGTCACTTGGAGACATGCGGAGCTCTCTGTGGGGGCTGGGGCTACCTCAGGGAGTCAGCTGCACTCTGAGGCTCCCACATATGAAAAAGCAATGCCACGTCTCATTCCACTCTGAAGAAAGAACAGGAGGGGATGGGAAGGGGGGTCAAGAAACAGCCACTGACACCTACATTCTTATCATGAAGGGAAAACATTCCCAAAGGGAAGAAAATAAAATTCCCGGGGGTTTCCTGGCTCACACTTGGGATCTGGCCATAGATGACCCACATAGTCCTTGTCTGGACTCCTGGGGACTTACCAGCCCCTCCGGGTCACAGACGGGCCTGCTTACCGGGTCTTCCTGCGGTATTCCTGCAGCGCCTTCTCTGCCACTGTGTCCATGAATTTAGGGTTGTCCCTGGAGACTTCTTCTGGGATCACCACTGTGATGGGGTCAGAGTCAAACAGCTTCACAACCACCTCAGTGACACGGGAGGGGGTGTCTGAGTCAGAAGAATGGGTCGTCACCTGGGCAGAAAAAGGGAAGAGTTTTGTGGCTACAGTGCTGGCCTTCTGCAACAAAGGACATGGAAGTTCATCAGGACGGCTGATGCGTTACTTATTACTGATCTAGAGAATGCAAAGCAAACTCCACAATTTAAAGGGGCAAATGCTATTTAAAAATGGTCAGCTTAGCAGGTGCTCCAGAAAGTAAGAGTGATTTTCAAATGTTTTCTTATTTTCTTGGTTCTTTTTTGTTTTGTCTGAGATAGGGTCTCACTATGTAGCCAGGATGGCCTCCAACACCCCACCCTCACAATTCATCAATGCTAGGATTGCAGGTATACCCCATCATACATAGCCCAAATGTTTTCTTTGCACCAATGCTGGCCACGCTGTAGTTCAAAGCAGGGGTACAGGGCTCCTGTCACTAAAGAAAACTGGTTCTCACTGGCAGACAACAATAACCTAATTCATATGCCATTCAGCATGGTGCAGGGCAGGAAAGCAGCTTTGAGAGAGTCCAAGCTTTGCAGCCTGGCAAACAGGTCAATGACTCAAGGGAATTGCTCCAAGATGCACATTCCTTTTTGTTTAGTATTTTTTTGTTTTATGTGTATGAGTGTTTTTCCTGTATGTATGTTAGTTCACTCATGTCACGTAACGCCCACCGAGGCCAGAAGAGAACAAAAATCCCCCTAGAACAAGGGTTACAAATGGTTGTTAGCCACCATGTGTGTGCTGGGAACCAAACCGCAGGTCCTCTGGAAGAGCAGCCAGTGCTCTTAACCACTGAGCCATCTCTCCAACCCCCAAGCTGCCCATCCTTAGACAAGCTGTAGAATGTCTCAACTTTCCTCATTTTGGATATTTGACCTCAGTGGGTGAAGATATTTCAATGTTTTAATATGTGTATGGTTTTCCTATTTCCAGCCACATGATAAACACCCAGTCAAAAATCATAATTGCTCCTGTGTGGTTCCTTTGTTCCACTGCACCTCTGGGAGGCATATGTCATCTCTAGATCACACCACGGGCCCCTAGCATCAGTGTGCTGCTGGGACCCAGCTCACCGTGGAGACCCGCAGGTAGTACTGGTCTTCACCCTGAGTGAGGTTAGCCAGCTGGGACACCCAGTTGAACTGCTCATTGAGCTGCTCCAGCAGGGACGAGGTGTTGAACATCTTCCTCTGATAGGACTGAAGCAGCTCGTTGTAATGCTGGGTCAACCTCTCAGCCACCAGGAGGGAGTCGTTGAGCTCCTGCCGAAGGTGAGCCTGGGCAGGGTTGTTGGTCGAACAGTCTGCCCAGAGAAGGTAAAACAGAGGCAGAAGCAGGAAGGGAAAGTTAAAGGAGGATGAAAGGCCAATGGAAAATGGCTCCTGCAGCCGGAACCCAAAGCAGCGATACCCTACGTGGAGGTCCACATGCCAGTGTGGTTCCCAGCAAACTAGCTCCTTCCAAATGTAAATCAAGGTTCTGCCTCTTTGTGCTCTGGAAATGAAGTCAGCTGAACTAAGCTGTGTGTGAGTCATCTGACTGACTTATCTTTGGGTGGCAGGTCCGTCTATCCTTCGTGACATAGAAGCCATACCAACCACACTCCAACGACCCTGGATATCAACTACTCCATGTTCTCAGACCTAGAGCTGCTCTCTCTCACTGCCTTAGTTATTCCCAGGAATCATTTCCAAAGAAGAGGAACCTTCTGTGTACCAGATGCTACACAGAGAGCAAGACCATTACTCATGGATGTGATACCTACTGTGAACCTGGTGTTCCTGAGCAGAGAAGCATTGTTCATTTATGTGGTACCTACTGTGTACCAGACACACATCGGGTGCTCCAGGTGTCCTTTTCTCTAAAACTATGCTTGATTTTGACTTGAGCACCGACACTCCTATTTTATCAGTAATCAAACAGGTTCCCAGATGTAGGAAACTTCCCGAAATCCATAGAAGAAATCATCTGTGGAGCGGAGATTGAATACAAGTCAAGTCTCCAGCTCCTCAACTTGGGCTCCACCTACTCTGAGCCTATGGTTCTAGGACATTCGCCAACCTTGTCTTTTGAGCATATTTGCAGAGGTGGTGGCAATTCTGGTCCCCTGAACCCCAGCAGCAAAAGAGCTAGCCAGGGCTCCAGATCACAAAGTACAACTGCCCGGTGGCTGGGGATCAGTCCTTGCCTGCCCTGTCCATCCCCAGCTGTCCAGAGAGCTCATGGATGGAGCAGGAAAACTGCCATTTTTCCTTTCCATCCTCAAATGCACTGCAGCTTGTCAGATTTACGAGGTCTGGAAGGTGTCTATATTCTCTCAAAACCAATTTTTGCTCCTCGTAAATTGTGATTTTTTTTTTTTAATATCCAAGAGGAGCTACGTCAAAACTAAGTACATCAGAGGAAAGGACAGCTTTGTGGAATGCCTGTGGTAACTGCAGTCATTTCTGCTAAAATAAGATAAAACCTTATGTGAGTCAAGAAATGAGAGCAGAGACAAGAAGTCAGATTGGGAGAAAATCTGTAACGGATAACCTGACACTCATCCCAAGAAATAAGAAAATCAAAGAAAAGTCATTGCCAGCCCAGACAGTCTAGAATAGTAGTTCTCAACCTGGGGCCATATTGCCCACAGGGGAACATTCAGGGAGTTCTGAGGACATTTTTGATTGTCACAGTGGAGGAAGCATTGCTCTTGGCATCTGGCAGGTCGAGGCCAGAGATGTTGCTAAAGATCCTACAAAGTGCCAAGGTCAGTCCCACAGGGCTGAAAGTGAGATAGCCCAGGCTAGAGTTCTCTGACAGAGGGGGCACATATAACTGCAAGCATCTTAAACAATAGGTAATGAGTGACAGAGAGGGTGATGTGTGAACTATGATCACTAAGTCTGATGTGAGAGGTTCAGTCTAGGCCCCTAAGGCAACTGGCTTTCCCATGGTCAGGCTCTCCAGGCATTTATACTATTCTTTTTAATTTTTTAAGATTTATTTATTTATTTATTTTGTATGAGTGCTATGCCTTCATATAAGTGTGCCCATGTTGTGCAATGCTCGAAGAGGACAGAAGGAGGCATCAGGTCCCCTGGAGCTGGAGTTACAGATGGTTGTTAGCCTCTATGCAGGTGCTGTGCTGGGATTTGAACCCAGGTCTTCTGCAAGAACAGTCAGTGCTCTTAAGCACTGGGCCATCTCTCCAGCCCACTTTTACACTATTCTGATATTTTCATGGACAAAGGCCACAGGTGTGGTCCTGTTCTTTACTATAACTTCATGCCATAGCCTTTGAAAGTACTTGTGTTTAGTTTGCATGGGCTTCTAAAGTCACAGGAATGAGGCTAGGAATATTTAACCAGGCTCTGAAGGCTGGTGATGACCAACCACAGGTATTAAGTAACAGCAAAGCCACAGATCGATCTACTCACTATCTACAAGAAGGGAGGTTAACTCTTACTGATCTGAGCAAGGATGGCTGTATACCAGGAGCAACCATAGACTATGGACTCAAAGAAGGGGAATGTGATTGATAGACAGATCTGACAAGACTGCGGGGAACAGTTTTGCTTTTGTTGTTGTTTGTGTTTCCTATTTTATTTGAGACAAAGTCTCACTATGTAGGCCAGACTAGTCTTGAACTCACCACCCTCCTACCTCAGCCTCTCATGTGCTAGAATTACAGGCCTGTACCACCAAGCCCAGTTTCCATGGGGAACTGATGAAGGGAAGTAATTCCTCTTCTCAGAGACTAATCCCACAGGAACTTTTCCAGAATGCCAGGGACCACTGCCACAAGGACAAAGTGCAGGGTCCCCAGGAAAAGACTCCAGAGTGTCTTCACAAGCTTGCTGGAGTGGGAGGCCTGGTAATCTAAATCACTCGGTCTTTCTGCAACCCAAGCTTCCTCCTCTGAGAGATGGGATAAGAACTGTACCCAGCACACAAGGTCATCCTGAGGGATGAGTAAATACCTGTGGATTGTTTACAACAGTACCTGGCACGTGGTGAAGGCTTGTTAAACAAAATGCACACTGTCTAAGATTTCATAATCAACAGTGAAAAACAACAGCTCTACTGTGCTTGGCACTGGGAACAGAATAACCAGGGGGAATCAGTTGTGGATCACTGGGGACTATAGTCAGCTATAAGGGTGATGCCCACTGAGGACTGCCAGTTTACCATGGGACATCCGGGATGTTAGGCCCTTTGGATATAACTCACTGACCTAAGGAATAACTTGAATTAGCACCTGATTTCAGGTGCTAGGGGGCTAGTGCAGTGGTAGAACACTTCCTAGTATGCACTGAGCACTGAGTCCTATCCCAGCACCAAAATACTATCCATGAAAACCCAACATATACATGAGGAACTCAGACCACACCAGGGTGAGGACTTTCCTGGGGACCACAGCTCAGAGGCACAAAGCTGGTCTCTGGGTAAGGGCAGAACTGGCGAGTCACAGACAAGCCAAGGACACAGGGGCGGCTTGCAGACTGGTCCCCAACTCACCCACAGACAAGATCTCTTGGCATTTATCACACTGGCCCTTCATCTTCAGACACCCAGTAGAGTTGTGGCGAATCTCCTTGCACACAGCACGGTCATCATCACCTTTTGGACATGTATGAGGGGAGAAAGAGGCAGACTGAGTCATTCAGCATGTCAGAAGTGGCCCCTCTGGTGGTGACACCTTCACACCTCCACTCAACTCTGTGGTCGGGGCCAGTTTCAACTTGGTTGTTTCCCTCCAGACATGGGCTTTCCCTGTGGCTCCTTGAAGACATGCCTCTGGCTGTTCAACAGGTACAGATCCCCCTCCACCATCTCTATCTGAGGAGACCTCTCCTGTCACATTCCCTCAGCTCTGTGCCCTCTGGCATCGAAGCCCGCTTTGTTCTGAATTCTTGACTTGAGGCTCTCCTTAGTTGGCCAGCAAACCCCAGAAAGCAGGAGTATGTCCTGACAACACAGAGCTCCTTATACACTGGAGCTGTAAGAGGTTTGTATTTGGTGCCAGGTCCACCCATGTTTCCAGTACAAACCATACCACATAGGGCATGGTGCTGACAAAGCATTGATGAGGAGAATCACTCCTCAGATACTGAGTCACATCCATGTTACATTTCATTCTTTCAGACATTGCACACTAAGGTCATGGCTGTGAACACCTTCTTTAAGGCTATGACAGTTCACTGCCTAGAAAGGCAGGTCTCCCACATCATATCCTCCGAATTCCCAAGGGAAAAAAAAAAAGACTATGAGTCCATAGGAGAAGCAGCCAGAGTCAAATCCTGACTGTACAGGGTCCAATCCCTGCAGAGTTAGACCATGCTTTGTCAACTGTAAAACTTCAGATGCATTGGTTCACCCATCGCTTAGCTCCTTTCTTCTGTAAATGGAGAGAATACCACCCTTAGGGGACATAGAAATGACACACTCTAAGCCCCAGCAGAATCCTAGCATCTGATGGGTTCCCATCCCTTCTTGGAAAGAAAAGCACCTCCTTCTGACCTCTTAAGAAATCTGTGTCTGGGAACTGGAAGGCTGAGCTGTGAAATGGAGCATCCATGGCCTGTTGAGCCTGGTGTATCATCTCAAAGAAAGGCTGGAACATGTTGTGGAAACTCAGGGGCCCGTAGTGGGAGAAAGGCAAGAGGCTGCGGACCAAACGGGACTTGGGGTAGAGGAAGTGAGACCTCCTGTGGGGAAAGCCAAGGGGTGGGAAGAAGTGGGTGTCTTGGGGCTCATGGGTGAAGAACCGGTCCTGGAAGAGTGTGTCCATGATGCTGGATGCTCGGGTGAAGCTGTCCTGCATGGCATCGAGGACATGGCTCTGCTGCCGGTCGCTCTCCAGCAGGGAGTCAATGCGGTCGCCGTTCATCCAGAAGTAGAAGGGTGAGCTCTGGTTCAGGAACTCCTCCAGCTGTGACAAGAACAGCACGGTAAGGAGGCACGCACCCCAGCCATGGCCTCCAGCGTTCCTGAGGGACTAGTTTTCTCTTACAGCACAGCCACACTGCAGGTGACCAGAGTCCCCACTGGACTGCTTCCTAGTATCCTGTCAGGCTAGTGCTCCTCCATCTACCTTCCACTGTGAGACTCACAAGTCCTATCACTTTAGAGAAGTCAGCTACTGAGGAAAGCCACCCCTACTTAACTGCTCAGCCTTTAGGAAACAGCAAATTTTACTGAGTCCCAACTAAGTGAAGCTCACAGGTAGGGGCAGAATCAATGTTAATACACTAAAAATTCTTAAATCTTTCTGCCTAAATGGGCGCAGGGTTCTGTCATACCACAAGGTCACTTGCTATGTTATCCGGCTAATCACTAAAGGTCTTCTACTGACTTGCATACTTGCGATGATTGCTTATGTCTGCACTCGTGGCAGACATCACCAATTGACCATGGTGCAAGAAGGGCATATAGGCAGCCAGTACTAATCAGTCGCATCCAGTGTGTGGAGTGAAGCACAGATCATCCGTTCCCCACATTCCCCACGCAGAGCTCAGACCACACACACAACCCCTTTTTACCTGGCGGCCAACCAGGCCTGAGCCGCTTCTGCAGACTCGTGCATAGAACTTCATGCATGTCTGCTTCAGGCAGGGCTTACACTCTTCCCAGAGGGCCATCATGGTCTCGTTGCACACTTCGGGGTAAGCCTTCAGCTTCATTTCAGAATCCCTGGTCTCATCCAGGGCATCCTTCAAGAAGACACAAGGTGAGGTGAGCCACGCAGAGACCCTGGTTTCTCCCCTCGTAGGCCCTCCAGCCCCACAGGCCTCCCAGGTCTGTGCAGTATGCTCACTGCCCGCCCCTGCTCCTGTCCACGACTTCCCTGTCACCTATCTGTAGTGCTCTCCCCCTCCCAGCTCTCAGCATCCTCTCATCCTTCAAGGCCCAGCTGGTCCCCAAGTCTTCCCTGATCTCTCTGACTCACTGCTTTGACAGTGTCTCCCACAGGATCCAGCCACCCCCTTACACCTCACTTCCTGTTCTCATCTTCCAGAGGAGGCCATTCTCCTGTTTCTATTGTAAGCCGGGCCTCTGACCCAGTAATTGACTCAAAGGACTGCCAAAATAAATTTTTTAAATCCTCTGCCTAAAAGTAATTGTGTTAGTTTATAGCAAATGTGTGTGTGTGTATATATATATATATATATATATAGCAAATGTACATATGTGTAGCTACATGTATATATTCTGATGTGATATGTATGTATGCATCAGAATCAACTTAGAGGCTCAAATGTAGAGGACAGGTTAAACAAATGAACACAGCAACACCCCCTTATCGGTGGCCTCAGCTCTCTGGTCAACCACAGTCTAAAAATATAAATTGTCAGGCTGTGAGGAATTAAGACATTTGAGAGCAAGAGGAACTATATCTGTACAACCTTCACTACCGCATATTGATATAATTGTTCTTATTATGATGGTTCGATCTTACTGTATGTGATTTATAAATTGAACTCTATCCTTGATAGGTATGCATATATAGGACAAAATGTAATATTTAGGGCTTCATACTACGCATGGCTGGAGGCATTCACTAAGGGTCTTGAAAATGTCTTCGGTGGATAAAGGGTGATGACTGTATATCCAAAGGAAAGAGTACAAGGATTTCACGTTAATTTTTAAATATCACACTAAGCACTTTCATGTTAAAAATAATTTTGAATACAGCTATTCTATTATGGGTGAGTGGTAGAAGAAAAGAATAGTAAAAAAAAAAAAAAAAAATAGCTCAGATGTTGCAATGATCTCCCCTCCTGAGTCCTGCCACCCCTATCCAGAGCAGGGTTTAGAAAAATCTATTGAAATGAATCTGGGCTTCAGGCCCTGGGCCAGGCTTATAAGGCAACCAGATCCAAGAACTCGCCCCTAAGGCTTTCACAAGTAAATATGCTTTCCCTGTTCCTTCTGCACAGCTCCAGCATCAGCTGACAGTCCTGCAAGGACTGCACTAAGGGTCACCATGGCAACCCAGCAAGACACCTGCCTCCCTCCCCTCCCAGCAGGGAGGGCTAGGGTCCAGCCATCCCTCAGCCTTACCTCTTTCTTCTTTTTGGCCTCCTCTAAAACGTTGAGCAGGGACTTGCGCTCTGCATTTGTTTTCTCTATTAGAGTCTTTATCTGTTTCACCCCCTGGACAGCATTTTGAATTTCCTTATTAATGTACTTACTCCCCTGGGTGGACATTTCTGCAAGAAGAAGGAAGGCAGGATGAGGGGAGAGGAAGAGAGGCACCAGGAGATAGCCCTGCGGCCAGCTGGAACGTCAGAAAGTGTGCTCTGATGGATGGTGGCTGTTGAGCTGGAGTACCATCACCACATCCCATGGGTGGCGGCTGTCAAGCTGGGGTACCATCACCACATCCCATGGGTGGTGGCTGTTGAGCTGGGGTACCATCACCACCATCCCAGCAGGCAGCAGACCACATGGCACCTGTCTTGCCCCTTTGCCTCATCACACAGCTCATGGACTCCACCCTACGGCTCAGAAACACAAACGACAGGCACAGCCTGGAGAAGGAGAGGGAGCCCAGTGCTATGTCTGACCTCCACCATGCCACCTGGGGAGACAGCGGCCACAAAGGGACTTTCAAGGAAAAGAGGGAAAAAAGTGATGGGTACCTTCTTAGGCATCAAAATATAACAAATTTCTATTCATTTAGATAATGATCTTTCTAGAGCTCAGCTTAATTCAACCTTTGCACATCTTTGTTCCAATGTACAGTGCCAGGTGGTAAAGACAGGAAGTTGAATGAAATGGCACCGTTCACCATGGAAACAGGAAGATAAATGAATAGCTCATTCACTCTGGAGACTGTAAGCAAGGCACAGCAGCAGGTGACGGAGGCAATGACACATCATGTCACGGAAGAACCATTTACCCGGTATTTATCCTATGCCAAGCACCATGCCCCACACTTCATGTGCACTTTAACAGCTACACCCATCCAATGAGGAAAAGAACTGGGGTGGGGGAGATTTCAACTATGCAGGCCTGGAGGTCAGTGGTACAAATGACGCTCATAGCTAATAATATTGTGTTCTGTACTTGCAGTGTAATTAGAGAATACATTCTGAACATTCGAACTACAAAAGTTGAGGTGACTACGTGAGGTGCTGGATATGCCAAGGGCTTGACAGTGAGAATCGTTTCACAATGCACACCACTATCAAAGCATCAGGTTGTAGTCCACAATTTATCATTTTGATTTCTCAGTAAAGCTGGGGTGGGGAAGAAGCAGTGCGATGAAATCAAGAGAACTGCCCCCAGGTTATAGCTAGAGAGAGTAGAGGGCAGAGTCACACTCGGGCCTGATGCAAACATCCGGGTCTTTAATGAAGAGCCCACAGAATGGGTCAGTTATGAGCAAGGAGGTTGGGAGGGAAGAAGACAGAAGGAAAGGACAAGGACAGACGGAAGGAGGGAGGGCAGATTTCCAGGAAGCTCTTGAAGAGGGACTCTCAGATAAGTACTCCGTGGGGCACTGTACTTACCTTCCTTGAGAAGGAACCTGGTGGAACCAAGTTTCTAGAAGGACAGGTAAGGGACACATGGGCAAGAGCTCTGGATGTCCCCACAAAGGAGAGACTGACAAAGTTTCAAATGGTCCAGGCACAGCTTTAAGAGAAGGCAAGAGAGCCAGGTGAGGGGACCAGGAAGGAACAGATGAGTGAAATGCAGCAGCCAGAGGGCCTTGGGACATGTAGAAGTCACCTGACCACAAAGAACAGCAGGGAGCCAGGGCTCAGAGACTTGGAAAGAACAGGGACAGCAACAGACCCAGGGCACAAGATGAAAACAGCCTTCAGCACTTGGGGACTGAGCTTGGACATGTGGCCCTGCCCTGGGCCTTACTACCTCCAGCTGAGGGACCACACGCTTGGTCTACTTGCCCTCGAGCTCGTTGTCGGAGACCAGCTGCTCTCCCAGGACCCCGCCATCCTCCCAGGTCAGCAGCAGGCCCACGCACAGCAGGAGAATCTTCATGGTGCTGCCTCCTCTGAGTCTGGAGTCCTAGCACGCTCTGTTGGGAGAGAACAGGAAAATGTCATGGTAACAGCAGGGCAGCTTACAGGTTTCCTGCAGCCTGCCACAGTTTCCGGGGAAAGGGGGTAGGCTGGGAATGTGTGGCTCTCATCTGTCCCTCAGCAGGCACTACTCCAGTTTACTCCTGAGGAATGAGGGAGGAAAGGTAATAACTTTGACACCTTCAAAAGAAAATAAAGGCAGAGGCACTGGGAGGAACCATAGCTTAGCTGCATAGAAGATCCCAGAGGATCCCAGAGTTGGAAGAGCCAGGCTCCAAGCCAAGTCCCTTTCTTGCTATAAGAACTCTGACTGCCTAGGCAGGACACATGAGCCTCCTGTGTCCAGAACTCCTTGTCTCCAAAGCACATCCAGCATACCAAATACTGAAGGCACCTCTTTTGGACCACGCATTCATCCCTGTCCCATTGCAGTGGGACTGAACTCTCATCCACGGAAGACATTACCAACCAGTTACAACCCCACGCCCTCCTGAGAACCCCAGGGCTATCTGAGTGAGTGTGCTTTGCAAGGTAAGGGCAAAGCCAGAGATTAAAAGTGAGCTTCCACGAAAGCCCCTTCAGAAGGACAGGACCATTGCCTTTGCCAAGCCCCTTTCACATGCTTATTCCCTCTAAACCTACACCCAGCATGCCCTGCCAAGGTGGCCCTGCCACCACTGGGCTGGCTGCCCTGAGCCAGAGAACACAGGCCGCAGCCCTTGTATTACACAATGGATCCTTTCCCAGAAGCTGGACTGGCTGCATAAAGCAGACACCCCTGCACCCCCAAGCCTACCCAGAACCACTTATTTGGGCTCACTAACTTCCTACAACCACAGAAACAGGGAAAGGGTGGGCTCTCCTTCCTGAAATGGCTCATATCTAAAACCTGCTCTCAGCTGGGCAGCTCCATCTGAAAACCGGGTAGATCATTAATAAGAAAGGCCTCTGCTGGGGCATAATTAGGCACACAGCACAAAGGCGCTATGTGGGAGGAGAGAACGGCACTTTCCTGGTGATGGGTGGGTGGCTAGACAAGCCTGAATTCAGATCCACCAGGAAGGCACTGATCCCATGGGCCTCCCAACTACTCACCAAGGCCTAGCATGCCTCTGACAGGGACAGCCCCTCTGTGCAATCAGAGATGAAGTCACAGAAATACCTGCAGGCAGGGCAGAAGCCCCAACCACAATTACTTTTGGGAAATCTACTCCATATCCTTGGAAATGGGTTCTGACCAGAGGACAGAATTGAGTCTTGAAGAAGTGGGGTCAGGGCCGCCAAGTCAGACCACTGACTGTGGGAGGGAGGGCGGGTCAAGATGAGCTGCAGCGGGCCTGGGGCCTGTCACCAGAAGCTATCAACATCAAGCTTCCATATGAGGAAAGTGTGCTCTCACAAGCATCTGTTATAGGATCTCCCACTCAACTTCTCCATTTCCAGAGGGAGTCCAAAGCACAGGGACAGGGCAGGGCTCCCAAGACCCACTGTAAGATGGTGGCCACCCTAGCATCAGGGCCCAGCCCTCCCAAATCTCAGATTAGTATTCTTTTTTATTTTTATTTTTATTTACGTGTATGTATGGGGGGTATGCTCATGTGTGTGAGGGCTGGGGAGGAGGGATCAGAAGAGGATGCCAGAGCCCCTGGAATTACAAGTGGTTGTGAGCCACCTAACATGAGTGCTGGGAACAGAACCTAGTCTTCTACAGAGCAACCAGCACTCGTAACCTCTGAGCCATCTCCAGCCCTTCAGATTAGTGTTCTTTCCTTGATACCAAGAGACTTAATCTCTGAACCTTAGTTTCTTTGTCTGTAAAACGGACCTGGTATAGGCCTCAAAGAAATCAGCCTCTACTTTGTGAAGCTCTTAAGAATTCCCCAAAATCTGGTGATGATGCTGACTCCAGCCAGGCCCGAACCTTCGAACCTGCTGGCCTCACAAGCTCAAAGGTGCCAAGGTGGTGCTGGTCCAAGGACAAGCTGCCCAGCCTGGTGCCCTCTCTCCACATTGCCGTCGGACTTCCCCTCCTCATGTGGAGGTTTGGCCTAGCTCTGGCTGCCAAATGCCCTAAGTGGCCACTGGGGCCAAGGACCACCGTCCCAGGTACCACGCTGCAACCTCTTCCGTCTCTATTTCCTTCCTTTTCTCCATGTGTTCTTATAAAACAGACCCTTTAAAAGACCTGTGGCTGCATTTGCAGTTTATTTTCCTCACAAGGTTGAGCCCTAAGCTGTGCTTTCGCGAGCATCTATTATAGAATCTGCACACTCTTTAAATTCCTAACTTCTCCCTTTAAAAACTAGCCGGGCTTGGTGGCACATGCCTTTAATCCCAGGAGTCAGAGGCGGGCTGATTTCTGTAAGATCGAGGTCTACATAGTGAGTTCCAGGCCAGCTGGGGCAGCAGGGGGACTCAGCATCTATAAAATAATCGGATGGGATCAGCCTTCTGGGTCCTGACAAAGCTTGTCTCTAATGGATTAAGTACACTGGAGTCAGAGTAAGATGGATTAGGGCGGTTGCAGGATGTACTTAAATTTACACAACATCTTATTTACAATGCGCTTTCCCTGGAGCTGGAAGGGAGGCGCAAACAAGATGACTCAGGCGCGCAGGGCTCCAGCCACCAGGCAGAGATCCCCACCTCGCAGCCGAGCGCTGCGGAGAGGCCCTGCGCCAGCCGCTCGTACCCCCGTGCCTCCGCAGTGCGCATCAGGCTCCAAACCTCAGTTTCCCTGTGTTTTTCAAAAAAGAAGACCTTTACACCCGGTCAATTTAAGTCATAAAACTGTGATTGATTGGAGTTAATGAGCACGGAGACTCGAGATTCAGGCTGCGCCCAGTGCCCCAGTATAAGGCCTCTGCCTCAGCCACCCGGGGATGGGGCTCCCCAAGGCTGCGTCATTCCTCCCCACCTGCCCGCCCATCCCTCCCGGTGAGGTTTCTGCGCAGGGGTATGAAAGATGGGGACCTCTCACCGGTCGGTGGTGCAGCCTCCCGTGCGCTCCTCCTGGCGATGCGGGGTGGTGAGCACAGTGAGGCGCCCTATTTATACCGCTCGGCTCGCGTACACCCCCTTTGGGGCTGGCTGCAAACCTGCGTGACTCACGCCCAGAGAATGCCGGGGAATACACCGGGAGCTTTCTGGAAGCCCGGAGGTGGGGGCGTGGGTGCAACACCCTGCAGGTAGCACCGGGGGGCGCACGGGCACCGCTAAAGGCCGCGCCGATCTCAGGGGTATCCTAGATCTGTGATTGCTTTGGTCCCCGCGGGCTAACGAGGGCCTCACAGTGGGGTATCGTGCCCCAGTAAGAAAACTTGGGAACCCCTCAACTCCACTACTGTAGTACAGCCTCAGGAGTTCACCCCTGACCCCCGCCCTATTGAAGAGTCAGCGTTCACATCAAAACGCTCGGTTTCTCTTGTCCCATTTGAATAGGGTGAGGGTGAGCCGGGCATTGTGCTAGGAGAGAGTATGCATGAAGTTTTGAAATGCCGGGCTACTTAAACAGCACGCTGGGCTGGTCGCCGCTGGCAGATGGATAGGCTGGGCCAGAAAGAAACAAACAATGAGCTAAGTGTACCCTGGGGGACTCCCAAAGGCCTCCCCTGGCTCTGAGACCCAGAGAGCTTAAAAATTGTCGCGGTGCGCTTGAGATCAGGCAGAAAGGATGGCACTGGACCCAGGAACCTCACAATTAAAGTACACTGTCATATTTTCTCTGTACTTACTGATGGGTGAGATGGGTGTTCAGTAAGGACCCAACCACTCACATTCCTATAAGCAACCCTAATGAAATTGATGGGGGCAGGGGGAACTAGCTGGAAAGAGAAGGGAACTACCTGAGAGGGAAGGGGACAGGAGAGGGTAATGGGGTGAACGTGATCAAAATACATTGTATACATATTTGAAAATGTCATGATTAAACTAATTATATATAATTAATATATGCTAATAAAAACCTTTTAAAATATTTTATTTAGTATTTTTTTTATTTTATATGAATGTATTGCCTGCATGTATGTAAGTGAACCCATGTCATGCAGTGCCAACAGAGGTCAAAAGGGGGCGTTGGATCCCCTGGAACTGGAGTTATGGAACATTGTTAGCTGCCATGTGGGTGCTGGGAATTAAACCTGGGTTCTCTGCAAGAGCAGCCAGTGGTCTTAACCACTGAGCCATCTCTCCAGACCCATAAAATCCTTTTTTAAAAAACATGCTGTCTCAGACGTGGCATTCACAGTGTTTCTGAAAAGGGACCTCTTGGAAGTTTTGCCCTGTTGAATAAGCGGCTGGATCTGTGTCCAGCTGGGTTGAGAAGCCCCAGCTGTCTTCTGCTGAGAGCAGTGACATCTGTTGCACCTCTGGCAGGGAAAGGAAAGCCTGGAAGCCCCTGCCTTTCTGTTCCTTCTTGAGAAAGAAGCCAAGTTTCCCTCTCTGAACCCTAGAACACTGGCCTGTCAGGGGACAAGGCAAGGGGCTGGTGCTGCTCTTTGAGTTGCTGTGGAGACAGGTGACCAAGCAGGTGCAGGCAGCTGGTTCCCAGTAGCAGGCCTTGAAGACTATGTGAAAGAGAGGGATACCTGAAAGCAAGATGTGTGGTCAGGCTTAGTTTCTCCTTCATGCCTATAAAGGTACAGCCATGAGGCCCAGTTTCCTTCTACCCAAAGCCCAGGGGCTACCAGGATCCAGTCCTTTCCCAAAAGGCAGCCTTCAGGAAGTTTCTAGGCCTAGAAAGAAGCTGGGCAATGGCCAAAATCCCAGCTGTGCCCGGAGTGCCCATAGACCAATCACGCTGCCCTCAGGCCTCAGTTTCTTCCGTCTGGATGAGGATGGATCTGAAATGTGTCTTTTCTAAGGCTTCCTTCAACCTAACCTGATAGAATGCCAAGTTTGAGAAAATAGCCAGCTCAGAAGAAAAAAAAAATCAGCAGGAACATGGAGCAATATCTCTCCACAAGAAGCTTGTTTTCCTTTTTTTTTTAAAAAAAAAAAAGTTGAATTATCAGTAACAGCTACATTTCCGTGGAAACTCCCTTGTAAATTTTCTGTTCTGTAGCTCCCTCACCACTGAATATAGGAGGCATAGATTACAATAGTTCTGTTTGTAAGAATTGTACTTCGGAGGTCAGGCAAGATCTGCCTTAGTCAGCTGAAGGGAGAGGATCCAAAGAGCGGAAGATAAGATTTGGAAGAAAATAGCATGGTTCACCAGCCTGATAGTGAATGGCTACTTGACTGGACTGCTCCAGTTCCTACGCAAATAAGGTTTGGGAGGTTAAATTTTAAGAAAAAAGTACAAAATTTGAAAACACCATTGTGAGTGCACCACTGGATTTGTGTGTGTATATTTATGTGTGCACACACGTGTGTGTGTATTTGTGTGTGTGTGCAGACATAACCTCAGCTGTCCCGTCTCAAGTACCATCCACCTTCCTTTTTTTTTCCTCTCTCTCTTAAGACAAGTCTCTCACTGGCATGGAACTTACCAAGTAGTCTAGGCTGGCTGCCCAATGACTCCCAGGATACTTGTGTCTCCACCAGCTCTCCAGTGGCGCTGAGATTACATATGTGGGCCACTTTTCATATAGGTATTAAGGATTGAATTTAGGTTCTCAAACCCACACGGCAAGCACTTTACCAACTGAGCCATCACCTCAGCCCTGTATTTTTAATATTCTCAGGAAATTTCAAGAGGTTTGGCCCACAAACAATACCGTCTCCCTCCCTCCACTTACCCCAACACCCCTGCACAGAGTTTCTCTGTCCTGCTTCTATTTGAATGCCTCCAACCTGAGATATTGCTACCTCTCTAATGTCCAATGGGTTCTTTAAGAAAGCTGCTGATGTCTGGGGCATCTTTGCCAAGGCTCATTCTGACACCTATAAAGGCTGTCCCCAAGCCCAATTCTATCCTCTGAACCACACAGAGAAACCCAACTCATATCTCTCCAAAGGCCTTCAGATTATTGAAAGCAACCCTGTGTGCTTCACCAAAGACCCCAAACCAGAAGCTCCATGTATGTCCCTATTTACAGACTCTTCCCAGCTCTTTGACCTCTTGAAACTCCAGAAGCCAGCTCTGGACCTGCAGCTGTCAGGGAGTTGACCTGACCACACAAAGCAGAATAGGACCATCCACTTCCTTGTCCAAAACACTCTAAATTTGCTTTGAGCTAAATGCTGAGTCACTGGGTGATTCACAGACTTCGTCAGTTTGTCGGCAGGGGTTGCTGTTCATCACATCTCTCCCCTCTCTCCCCTCGTGGCCGTGTGCAGCTGTGTTGGGCAAGGGTGTGTCTGTTAGCCTGATTTCTTTCCTTGGAGGTCATGGGGAAGAATCTGCTGGGAGCAGGTAAAGAGCTTGCTGTTGATCTGCTCATCTCTTTAAGCTTTGCCCAGTATCTCTGGCTGCCCAAATGTCTTTGCATCTGATTTGCTACTCGGTGTTTTTGCCATGCACCCCACAGCCCTACCATCCAGCACAGCATCAACCAGCATGCAGCTAGGCCCCCTCAGTTATCACTGAAACAAAGTAGAAATGAGGCCCAGCAGAGTGACTAAGAATCACTCTCTAGGCTGTAATTACTTAAAGGGTGCATTCAGTCAATCACAGGCCCACGGTAAAATCATGGATAATAAAATCATGTATGATTAAGGCCGCCCACAGCCGATGCAGAAGTACCCTAAGTGCCATTTTATGCATTCGTAAAGTCCAGATTCATTTACTCAATCAGCTGGTCTCCATCTTCCCGCTGGGGAACTTTTGGAGGAAAGGGTTATGAATAGCCAATCCTGCATTGCTCATCATGTGCCTAGAAATAGATAAATGGTTTTTGAACTGACGTCACCATTATTCACATTGCGGATGAGCTATATGTGGTCTGTACCTCTCTTCAAAATTGTGCAATCCCAGCCTTTATTGCCTTGATCTATCTCAAGACTTCTTTTTCTACATCTTGCCTCTTGACTTCCCCCAAGGGCTGCTGGGATTTTAGTGTCTCTAAGAATGCCATTTTCTGGAGGCATTGTGGCACATGCCTTTAATCCCAGCACGTGGGAGGCAGAGGCAGGCGGATCTTTGTGAGTTCGAGGCCAGCCTGGTCTACATAGTGAGTTCCAGGACAGCTGGGTCTACAGGGAGACCCTGTCTCAAAAAGACAAAAAAAAAAGAATGCCATTTTCCACGTGACCATCATGATAGATACTGTCTTTTTGATATGCCAGTTTGGTGAGTTGAACAATAACATTTTCCACCAATGCCAGTTTCATGAGTTTGAGACCAGCCTGGGATATGTAACAAAGTCCAGGCCAGCCTGGACTTTTTAATGGAACCCTACTTCCAAAAGGAGAGAGGGGGGAGAAATAGAGAGTTATTGATTGTAATTTCATACATTTACTGTTTTCAACTCTTCGTTTTGAAATAAAATTTCCTTTCCTGTGACTTGTCTGTTCATATTGTATGCTTATTTGAACAGGCTATTGTATCTGATTTTCTATCAACTATAAGACTTTCTTATGTGTATGTGTGTATTACCTGCATGCATGTAAGTACACCCATGTCGTGCAATGCCCATGGAGGTCAGGAGAGGGCATTGGATACCCTGGAACTAGAGTTACAGATGGTTATTAGCTATCATGTGAGAACCAAACTCAGGTCCTCTACAAGAGTAGCCAGTGATCTTAACAGGTGAGCGATCTCTCCAGCCCCTTCAACTATTTTAAGTAAACACTAACAAAGAAAGTGATCTTTTTTTTTTTTTTTTGTATTTTAAATCCTAAAAAGCTGTCTTTGGCGGGGGGGGGGGGGGCTTTTGCCTTTGATTATGGAGACTTTCTGAAATTTCTATGCAAGAAAATCTATCTTTTTCTTCATAGTTTCTAAGTATCCTGTCTTGCTTAAGAACAGTTTCTTCTGGCTAGAAGATAGACAGCTGTTCTCCCCTTTCCATATAGCTTTCTATTGTGTTAGTTTTCTGTCTGGATATTTAACCAAAATGAAATGCATGGGTGTGACTCTGAGAGAGAGAGAAAAGAGAAAAAGTATATATATACAAAAAGAGATGCATGTGTGTGTGTCTGAGAGAGAGAGAAAGGAGAGAGAAAGGAGAGAGAGAGAGAGAGAGAG